GAGATATTGTTATGAAATATAAATCAACAAGATAAGGAAGAGAAAAACGAGCAATAAAATGGATAGCAACTAAAATTTAGAATTAGCAACAAATATGACTGTCTACCATTGACATAATGGGGCGGGCGCTGGCAATTCTGGAAAGAAGCAGACGAAGAGAAGAGTATTGAATGACGCAGGACAGTAGAAACAAGATAACTGTTGCGTGAGGAGGAAAAACCATGAAAGTTGGTGAGATATTGTTATGAAATATAAATCGACAAACAGATAAGGAAGAGAAAAACGAGCAATAAAATGGATAGCAACTAAAATTTAGAATTAGCAACAAATATGACTGTCTACCATTGACATAATGGGGTGGGCGCTGGCAATTCTGGAAAGAAGAAGACGAAGAGAAGAGTATTGAATGACGCAGGACAGTAGAAACAAGATAACTGTTGCGTGAGGAGGAAAAACCATGAAAGTTGGTGAGATATTGTTATGAAATATAAATCAACAAGATAAGGAAGAGAAAAACGAGCAATAAAATGGATAGCAACTAAAATTTAGAATTAGCAACAAATATGACTGTCTACCATTGACATAATGGGGCGGGCGCTGGCAATTCTGGAAAGAAGCAGACGAAGAGAAGAGTATTGAATGACGCAGGACAGTAGAAACAAGATAACTGTTGCGTGAGGAGGAAAAACCATGGAAGTTGGTGAGATATTGTTATGAAATATAAGTCGACAAACAGATAAGGAAGAGAAAAACGAGCAATAAAATGGATAGCAACTAAAATTTAGAATTAGCAACAAATATGACTGTCTACCATTGACATAATGGGGCGGGCGCTGGCAATTCTGGAAAGAAGCAGACGAAGAGAAGAGTATTGAATGACGCAGGACAGTAGAAACAAGATAACTGTTGCGTGAGGAGGAAAAACCATGGAAGTTGGTGAGATATTGTTATGAAATATAAGTCAACAAACAGATAAGGAAGAGAAAAACGAGCAATAAAATGGATAGCAACTAAAATTTAGAATTAGCAACAAATATGACTGTCTACCATTGACATAATGGGGCGGGCGCTGGCAATTCTGGAAAGAAGCAGACGAAGAGAAGAGTATTGAATGACGCAGGACAGTAGAAACAAGATAACTGTTGCGTGAGGATTAAAAACCATGAAAGTTGGTGAGATATTGTTATGAAATATAAATCAACAAGATAAGGAAGAGAAAAACGAGCAATAAAATGGATAGCAACTAAAATTTAGAATTAGCAACAAATATGACTGTCTACCATTGACATAATGGGGCGGGCGCTGGCAATTCTGGAAAGAAGCAGACGAAGAGAAGAGTATTGAATGACGCAGGACAGTAGAAACAAGATAACTGTTGCGTGAGGAGGAAAAACCATGAAAGTTGGTGAGATATTGTTATGAAATATAAATCAACAAGATAAGGAAGAGAAAAACGAACAATAAAATGGATAGCAACTAAAATTTAGAATTAGCAACAAATATGACTGTCTACCATTGACATAATGGGGTGGGCGCTGGCAATTCTGGAAAGAAGAAGACGAAGAGAAGAGTATTGAATGACGCAGGACAGTAGAAACAAGATAACTGTTGCGTGAGGAGGAAAAACCATGGAAGTTGGTGAGATATTGTTATGAAATATAAGTCAACAAACAGATAAGGAAGAGAAAAACGAGCAATAAAATGGATAGCAACTAAAATTTAGAATTAGCAACAAATATGACTGTCTACCATTGACATAATGGGGCGGGCGCTGGCAATTCTGGAAAGAAGCAGACGAAGAGAAGAGTATTGAATGACGCAGGACAGTAGAAACAAGATAACTGTTGCGTGAGGAGGAAAAACCATGGAAGTTGGTGAGATATTGTTATGAAATATAAGTCAACAAACAGATAAGGAAGAGAAAAACGAGCAATAAAATGGATAGCAACTAAAATTTAGAATTAGCAACAAATATGACTGTCTACCATTGACATAATGGGGCGGGCGCTGGCAATTCTGGAAAGAAGCAGACGAAGAGAAGAGTATTGAATGACGCAGGACAGTAGAAACAAGATAACTGTTGCGTGAGGAGGAAAAACCATGAAAGTTGGTGAGATATTGTTATGAAATATAAATCAACAAGATAAGGAAGAGAAAAACGAGCAATAAAATGGATAGCAACTAAAATTTAGAATTAGCAACAAATATGACTGTCTACCATTGACATAATGGGGTGGGCGCTGGCAATTCTGGAAAGAAGAAGACGAAGAGAAGAGTATTGAATGACGCAGGACAGTAGAAACAAGATAACTGTTGCGTGAGGAGGAAAAACCATGAAAGTTGGTGAGATATTGTTATGAAATATAAATCAACAAGATAAGGAAGAGAAAAACGAGCAATAAAATGGATAGCAACTAAAATTTAGAATTAGCAACAAATATGACTGTCTACCATTGACATAATGGGGTGGGCGCTGGCAATTCTGGAAAGAAGAAGACGAAGAGAAGAGTATTGAATGACGCAGGACAGTAGAAACAAGATAACTGTTGCGTGAGGAGGAAAAACCATGAAAGTTGGTGAGATATTGTTATGAAATATAAATCAACAAGATAAGGAAGAGAAAAACGAGCAATAAAATGGATAGCAACTAAAATTTAGAATTAGCAACAAATATGACTGTCTACCATTGACATAATGGGGTGGGCGCTGGCAATTCTGGAAAGAAGAAGACGAAGAGAAGAGTATTGAATGACGCAGGACAGTAGAAACAAGATAACTGTTGCGTGAGGAGGAAAAACCATGAAAGTTGGTGAGATATTGTTATGAAATATAAATCGACAAACAGATAAGGAAGAGAAAAACGAGCAATAAAATGGATAGCAACTAAAATTTAGAATTAGCAACAAATATGACTGTCTACCATTGACATAATGGGGTGGGCGCTGGCAATTCTGGAAAGAAGAAGACGAAGAGAAGAGTATTGAATGACGCAGGACAGTAGAAACAAGATAACTGTTGCGTGAGGAGGAAAAACCATGAAAGTTGGTGAGATATTGTTATGAAATATAAATCAACAAGATAAGGAAGAGAAAAACGAGCAATAAAATGGATAGCAACTAAAATTTAGAATTAGCAACAAATATGACTGTCTACCATTGACATAATGGGGTGGGCGCTGGCAATTCTGGAAAGAAGAAGACGAAGAGAAGAGTATTGAATGACGCAGGACAGTAGAAACAAGATAACTGTTGCGTGAGGAGGAAAAACCATGAAAGTTGGTGAGATATTGTTATGAAATATAAATCGACAAACAGATAAGGAAGAGAAAAACGAGCAATAAAATGGATAGCAACTAAAATTTAGAATTAGCAACAAATATGACTGTCTACCATTGACATAATGGGGTGGGCGCTGGCAATTCTGGAAAGATGAAGACGAAGAGAAGAGTATTGAATGACGCAGGACAGTAGAAACAAGATAACTGTTGCGTGAGGAGGAAAAACCATGAAAGTTGGTGAGATATTGTTATGAAATATAAATCAACAAGATAAGGAAGAGAAAAACGAGCAATAAAATGGATAGCAACTAAAATTTAGAATTAGCAACAAATATGACTGTCTACCATTGACATAATGGGGTGGGCGCTGGCAATTCTGGAAAGAAGAAGACGAAGAGAAGAGTATTGAATGACGCAGGACAGTAGAAACAAGATAACTGTTGCGTGAGGAGGAAAAACCATGAAAGTTGGTGAGATATTGTTATGAAATATAAATCGACAAACAGATAAGGAAGAGAAAAACGAGCAATAAAATGGATAGCAACTAAAATTTAGAATTAGCAACAAATATGACTGTCTACCATTGACATAATGGGGTGGGCGCTGGCAATTCTGGAAAGAAGAAGACGAAGAGAAGAGTATTGAATGACGCAGGACAGTAGAAACAAGATAACTGTTGCGTGAGGAGGAAAAACCATGAAAGTTGGTGAGATATTGTTATGAAATATAAGTCGACAAACAGATAAGGAAGAGAAAAACGAGCAATAAAATGGATAGCAACTAAAATTTAGAATTAGCAACAAATATGACTGTCTACCATTGACATAATGGGGTGGGCGCTGGCAATTCTGGAAAGAAGAAGACGAAGAGAAGAGTATTGAATGACGCAGGACAGTAGAAACAAGATAACTGTTGCGTGAGGAGGAAAAACCATGAAAGTTGGTGAGATATTGTTATGAAATATAAGTCGACAAACAGATAAGGAAGAGAAAAACGAGCAATAAAATGGATAGACGGAAGACGAATGTGGAGATAGTAGAAAAAGTATTCTCGTATTTACAAACGAACATATGCTCCCCAGCGAATGCCCGTCGATATTTTTTAACATTTCTCTGATTAACGTCGTCCGAAAACCGGAACAACTCCAAGAATAGGAACTTAAAACGTCGACGTCGCGACACATAATACTATACCCGGATAAATATAAATTAATAAAGTTTCCGAAATAATCCTGGAGCGTCTACATCGTCGTCGGACTTTAACAAAATGATTCGCTCCCAATAATTCTAAAATCTACTTTAAAGATGCCCGTCTTCCATATCCAAGTTTAATTAAAATTTCCGCACGGTTTTTCCTTCTTTATCGAGAGCAATCCGCGGGACTTTAAAAGTAATAATTAATTTGAAGATTTCGGGCGGCGGAGGGTATTATCCTCGCCTCGGTGGGCGCGTTAATTGCAGGAAAATCTCCCTCTCCCTCAAAAATCCTGCGTGAAATTAAATAGACCGCTTTCGCGCATCTGCATTATCTTACCTGTACCTGCAGCAGATGAAATAATAGGATTACTCCAATTTACCTCCTGCCAGACAAAGCGGGATGCCGCCATTGTTGACATTTCGAAATAGTTAACAGTCGCCCGAAGTTGGGTTCTATCATCCAAAACATAATTTAGTTCGCTTTGTAATTCCATTTTGCATTTAACGCCGGTTTTGTTTTGTTGCAGGCATCATTACGACTACTTCTAGAAGACTGGATAGGGAAACTCAAGACGAACACATATTGGAGGTAAGATCTCAGTGGGTAAACTGCAAACTTAGGCGGCGGAACCTGTTCATCCCTCAAATACCCACAACGCTTTCTCAAATCGAGAGTCGTTTAAATATACTGCATAACCACATGATCATTTATTTTGCTTTCTTCGTCGCAAACCTGAAACGTTTACAATTTGTTTTAACACTCCCGTTATGTGTGTTCTTCGAAGAAGGCCTTTTCGGTCGCAATCGGATTTGCTCAACCTGAACCATTGATTCAAAGTTGATGGAATGGGCTTAAACGTATAGAATTGCCTGATCATTTCTAGGACTCAGCACCTTGGATTGTTTGATTGTTGTTTTATGGTCATAGTTATGGTTGTTTTAGTGTCATTTTACCTTTATCCCATACACTTGCTCCAAGCTTCTATAGAGGTTTTGTCAAACTGGGTTCTCGTAATGCTTCCATTATTTGCAGAGTTAACCTTCCATGCAAGTTGCAGGAGGTGATTTTTATCCTTCCTTTTATTAACTCTTTCATTATTGTTTTCTATCTAGAGTTTTTATGAGTGTTAAATTGACCTATTTAGCGTACTTTAGGGTTTGGTTTTTCGACGAAAACTATAAAAGTCAGAAAATTCTTTAAAGCTCTGATATTAGAAGGTCCAATGCAGTGCATTTAGTAATTCGGCGGCAGTCCAATTATCGGGAGTAGCGACTTCTGTGAGCGCGAGGACGGGCCGCCGTCAAAGCAAGGTCCCATTTGCAAATGTGAAACCGTGCGCTCAGATGAAGGCATTTATTTGATGTCTATCCGCGCGGCAATTCGGATACCATTCGAAACATCGGTTACAGACGCAGGCAGATCTTAGTCTGTCAACGTGAAACTTGATTAACGTTTAGTAGATGTCGTTAGTTATCGCGTCATGTGAACAGGCTGCGACCCAAAGGTTGAAGATCATGAGAGGAATATTACAGTGCACCAGTTCGTCATTTACCTTAATTAAAAAAATGTATTCCTGTAGAAATTCCGGGCAAGTAAACACGGAAATATTGTAAGGGAACAACCAAAAACCATATCCGCATAACGTGAGGTACATCGTCAATATCTAGGACGTCAGATTTTTTTGAAACTTGGAAATAAATACAACGAATTCTTGGGTATTTCATTATTGAGGTTGTTGAGTAGTACATCATTTTGGTACAACGTCAGAATTTTTTGAGGTTACGAAATAGATAAAACTAATACTTGGTTATTTCATTATTGGGGGTAGTTTTATATATTCGCTACCGTTTCAAGGTGGTTAAATAGTACTTCATATTGAAGCTCTCCGAAGTGGCTCCTCAATGGTCTTTTTGAACATTTGAGACAACGGCAAATCTTTTCGACATTGCGAAATAGAAATTAAATTATTATTTGAGGTGATGCGAACGGAAAAGGGGTTATTGGTTATATGGTTTTTGGATGTTCTCTAACAATTTTTCCGTGCTTACTTTCCCGGCATTTCCACAGGAATGCGTAAGCGGAGTCTTACTGCCGATGTGTTATCAGATGGTTAGGTTTACATGAAGGTAAACAGTGTGACCAGATGAGGCGTGTGTCGCCGGAGTGCATTGCTTTTTTGGAGAGGCGTGTGTCGCCAAAGGTGGATAAATATTCCCGTAAACTGTGTTTTACTCGATGGTGCTGGAACCGTATTGCAATTTTCCTGATAGCTGATACTTTCATAGGTTTGCCAAATCATATTACATTGCAAGTTGCAAGTAAGCTGGTTTTGGTTTTGTTCTCCGACATCAGAAGTGGGATCAAGACTTTTCGGTGACATTCGGACAGTGAAAATGACTATAATGACCGCAATTAGTGTAATGCTAAATAAATGCGCTACTGTTGGATGAATGAACTGCAATTGTGGCTTTATGGGTTCTAGAAAAAAGAAGAGAAAAAAATGTGATGCAGTTCTTAGCAGTCTTTGCAAGAACCGTAGATGTATGTCACTTAAATTAAATTAGTAGTAAATAAGTAGTAGAGAGCACTAAAAGCCGCAAAAATATTTCTGCACAATTAACCCTCCCAAAAAGTATTATCTTCTTCTTCTTTGACGGGGAGTGCATTCCCGCCATTTTTTTCGACCACAGCAAATTCATCGGTTCGTAATGTTAAAATATCGATCGTACCCGATACCGCGAACCCGGACGGGGGGCGGGAGGTTTGTAATGAGGTTCGTGCGGCGGATTCCCGACTCGATTAAGGCGTCTCGTAATTTTAAAAGTAACCCGCCGGTAATTCAGAGCGTTCCCCCGTCGGCCTTAATTATTACGTCCAAAGATGATAAGTCACCCTCGGTTTCACCCCTAATAACGGCCGGGGTTAATTAATGGACACGTCGTAAATATGCGGAAAATTTTACAACGGTGCACTTTGCCTTGCACCTAATTTTTCGCGACGGGTGGAGGGATTTAGCAGACACGATATTACGGTTACCGTCGTTAGACCGGTTATCGGCCCCTCCCGCTATCCCGTCCCTCTCGCGGTAAACTTCGCCTTGAAAAATGAACCGTTGTGCGATATTTTCTTGGCACTACGCCAATGAACTCCCCAGTACCTACCAAAACCTTCGTGTACTTTGCTCAGTCTGATAGCAGCTATTGTACAGTTACGTTTTGAATGGCTAAAAATATTTATTCATTCTCTCGATTTTTGATGCTGATACTAAGGCAGTTCGCCAGCTCGATGCCATATGTTTATTCCTTCCGAAGTTGCTTGGGAAAAAAGTTAGACTGACCTGTGTTTCGCTTAATATACGAGAGCGGATTGATAAGTTTCAGGTCTGACGAGGAAAACAACGTTTTCCATTTTTTTTTTTTGCTTTATTCTTAATACGCTTCATTCTTTTTAATATTTATTTATTTATTAACGGATCGACCGTGCAATATAAAATAAGATTCACTTAAACAAAATAACATAAAATAAACAAAAATAAAACAGAAAAAAATAGATATATAACATTGGTTTTGCAAAATATTAATATAGGAGTCGACACGAGAGTAAGACACATATAACAATACTATCCAGAAGTCAGACAGCGGACTAGTTTTACTGACAGTCTTTAACTTCATTCTTAAATATTCCTGCACTCTGGAAGCAGTCCAAAAAACCATTTGCTAGTGCAGCTGACCTAGTAAGAAAAGAACTCTGCCCATAGTTTGTACGATCGAACCTGTAAGAGGGGGAACGCGAACCCTAATCTTACATAACAGCTCAGGTCCATGAGAATTTGAGTGCAGTAGATTATAAAAAATGGTGCATGCGACGACTGGAGAGAGTTGGAGGGAAATTTCCAATTCCAAGTAATCGATTTCCTCAGGTCCTTGGTGCTCCTTAAGTGCTTTATATTTCTATGGCTTGTATGTGGATGTTATACGAAGGTGACCACAAACAGGAACAACAATCCAGGTGTGGAAGCACAGTAATCTGAGAGATACGTCTTATGTGGTTGTACCACTGCGTCTTACGTTGTCTTCCCCATATCATAATATCTTGTATCCCGCACTGCTCTCTGACATCTGTGTTTCTTACTCTGTCTCTTCTTGTTTTCCCCACTATTGTCCTCAGTGTTTTCATCTCTGCTACCCTTAGCATTTGTTTCGTCTTGTTGGTGTCTTCGCGGACTTCGGTGCCGTACGTCATGACGGGTCTGATACAAGTCTTGGAGATTCTAATTTTGCCATCCTTGCGCATGTACAGACTATATCTCGTAGGCATGCTGATAGTTCGGATGTTTTGTTAATCTGGCTCCTTATGTCTTTAACTGGGTCGTGGGTGCTTGATATATCTATGTTCAGATATCTTAATTGCATCACTTGTTCTATGGGTTTGTCCTCCACCACCAGCTTATTTCTGAGCGGAACCTTCGCGATTGAGACATTTGGTCTTGCTGATAAAAATGTTAGCTGCCTACCGCGGGTAAGAAGAACCAATTAGCTCACAGAACTGAAGATACAGCCTCGGAATTTTAGGTCGTCAGCAAATAATAGGAAAAATGCGTAATGAAAATATGAGGCAATATCATTCACATAGACATTGAAAAGTAGGGGTCCCAAGTGTGGTCCTTGGGGAACACCAGAAGGCACTTTAATTTCGGTGGATTGGAAGCTCTGAACGCGCACAATCTGCACTCTTTTAGTAAGAAACGATGTTAACTATCCCCTGGATTAAAATGTTTCGCAAATTTTTGATAAAGATTTGATGATTTACTCGATCAAAGGCCTTCGAAAAATCTGTGTAAATGGCATGAACGTGAGACCCCTCCTCCAATGATTGCAGCAGAAAATCAAATCTGCAAATATAAGTTTAGCTCAGTAGAGCTATGGGGAAATCCAAATTGTTGGTCGATAAAGCAACTTCTCAAACGCTCACTAAAACCTTACTACAAGAAGACTTGAGGCTGACTTGTTTCCACTGTTTTAACTGTTTTTTATATTCAGAAGTGTAGTTGCGGATCCATGTCTCATCCTATAGTTATAAATCGACCTAGAAATTCATCAGGATCTCCTTTCTGGAGTGCCAAATTCTCAATTCAACTTTGGTTCGGACGTTGCAGTAAAATGAATTGTAATTAATGTAATTACCTGACACTTTTTACTTATCAGCCCAAGTTCCTTCCTGTATTTTTTGTTTTTTGTTCCTGGTGGAGGTGCCGGGTCCCTTACCATTACTTACCATTACGGTTCGCAGTGTCCTACCGAAGAATGGCAGTCAGAATACTAACGATTTGGTATCTTATCCAGACAAAAAAAAACGTCGATATCCTCGACAGACTGCACAATGCAAGCGTAACGAGCGTTTCCGGCTAATCTCGCTCGAATTACCGTGCGCCGAGTTCCCGGAACTTTCCGGGTTATTTCGTCACGCGGGCGTCGCGGCGCGCTTCTTGCCGACGGAAGCGACAAAACAATGCCGAAACATGTTTATCGCCCGCGGGAAAGCCGTCACCGTTCAAAATGGGCCCACGATAGATAATTCACGGTAAATCGGCAGTGAGTGGTTTAATACTTAGCGAGGATGCGAGGTTTTCCACTTTGATGGTGACGGAGCCCTCGAGGAAGAGTTTGTGAAGCGTCGCCTTCGTAATGAGTGATGATGAATGGTGACGCAATTCGCCGGCAAAATTTCTTTCTATTTATGCATATTTATATAAAATATTGTTTTTGTTGCCATTTAACTTTGGTTTGACAGCCACTATGAAGTTGCTTTCAAATAATTTATTGATAGAGCAACTTGCTCGTATAAAAACGGTTACGCGTGATCAAAAATTAAAGCCCTCAGCTCACTCAGCTGGTGTTGACCGACAATTCTTTCTCCAGAGCCGCACAATTAAGGTGGTTTCTGGTGTGAGATAGAGATCTAGATGTAAAGATCTTTTTCAGTAACTCTTCGCAACATCTGCTATCTAGTGCGTGGGTTATGAAAATGAAGGAGTTTTATCCTACATAAAGATCCATTTGAATACCCCAAACTTAGCCGGTGAGGGATGATCACTTCTTCAATTAAAATTGAAAGGCCAAATAACATTAAATAATCAAAACAGTGCCCAAAATCAGACGCTTTATCCCATATTTTAAAATAATTTTTTGGCTTTTATTTTCACTACGTAATTCACCCTTATAGAACAAAAGTTTAATTCAGTTTCTACAAACATCAAAATCTCACAAGTCATCCATGTTTTTTTCGTTAATTGACGTAATCCAACAGGGATTCCATTTAGGTATCTTAGACTGTTTCAGAAATAAAAAAAATACAGAGGACACGAACACAATTTTATTAACAAAGCAAATGTAATTCTTTAATGAAACATCCATGGACGTACTCGACGAATACGTTCGCTTCATTGTAGGGCCGTGTGAAATTCAAACTTGATCCGACTCTGTTCGACGTCCACGACGCCGTTTTAATGCTCGATTTTCCGGAAAATTTACGACCGCTCTAACGTTAGCAATCTGTCAAACGGATTGAGCAGGAATTGGCCCGAGACTCCTCTCTATCGCTGCCCTACGTTAATACCGAGGATTAAAAAATTTACCGCGTTTACTTCGGGCCGGTTAATAAGGGACTTTGCGGACCTTTGGTAGTTTGCCGCGCTTCCAGAAACCTCTTTCGATAAGTGATAGGAGTGACAACGACGCTGTCTTGATCGACAAAGACGTCATCTGAACCGTTAATCCTGTAGCAGTGGTGCATTAAAACTCATAATTATGCCTATTCAATATGAATATGACATTATCTACAAAAGTCATTAAAATAAGTCCATTATGATAGCGGACATGATAGATCAATTGATAGAAGTATACGAAACTTTCTAAAGGCCACCTTGCCTAGCAATCTACGGCATACATTCGTGTGCTTCATTCCTGACGAGCACCAAATGAAGTTATGGTAGATATGAACCTGTACTTGCTTCGTGATGTACTGGTCACCCCCAATTTATCCATATGTGGCAATATTGAAGTTCATGTTATGAGTGATATCTCAGGTCACTGTATTGTTTCTTGTAATATCAAGCTGCAGAAAGACCTTCATCCAAACCTTTTTTTAAGCCTTTAGATATTTTTCGGCATCCGATAATGAATTGTCTATGAATAGTCTTAGAGCAATTAACTTTTATACTCTTTCGATTTGATTTCTATTAAATTCAAAAAACAGAGTTAAGGATAGCTGGCATGGATGCATTTGACTTGAATAGCAGATTACTCGAGGAGACCGCGGATATTTTGGTGGAACCTTTGATTAGCTTGATAAATTGTTGTTTTACTGAAGGAATATTCCTAAGTATTTTTAAAATTTCTAAAGTAACGCCAATATTTAAAAACTGAGACCCTCAGATGGTCGATAATAAGTCGATAAGTTTTTGAAATGCTGTTAAAAGAGAGACTATACAAATTTGTTGAAGTAATTCAAGTACTTGACTCTGTCCAACTTGGTTTCAGAAGCAAGTTCTCCTCAACTAGAGCTTTGATGAAGGTGGTGGAGGAGATAGTCATGGGTCTAGAAAGGGCTTTCGACTGTGTTTCTCATCAGATTATCTTGAGCAAGCTTGAATTTTATGGAGCGCGTGGTGTTCCACTCAAACTTTTTAAGTCCTATTTAACAGATAGACAACAGTTTGTGAGCGTAAAGAACAATAAGTCTGATTTGGCTTGCGTTGAGTTTCTAAGTACCACAGGGCTCCGTTCTGGGACCACACCTTTTTATTATATGTATAAATGTTATTTGCCAGTACATTATGCCTGATACTGAGATTGAGCTGTTTGCTGACGACACAACATTTATTAATTCTAACAGGAACATCACTACCCTGAGTAATATTAAAACATATACTTTATCTAAGGCCAAAGCATGGTTTTCAGCAAATAGTAACAGTATGTTGACATGTGGCAAGGGATGCAAGATTCTGAGCGTTACCTTGGATGACACTCTGAATTGGTCGGAACACACTGGCGAGCTAAGTAAAAATCTTTCAAATATTCATTTTCTTTTGCAACAACTTGGCAGAATGGTGAGTTTTGATGTATTGAAGTCAACTTACTTTGGTTTAAGCTATGCCACCATACTGTGGGGTAACTCCTCTTATACACCATTAAAATATTTAAGATGCTAGAAAAGGCACTACGGATAATTACAAATTCAAATTTTAACGAACACTGTAAGCCATTGTTTATTAAACATAAAATAATGACGGTTCCATGTATATTTATATTTCAAAGTATTCGTGAGATACACTTCAAGACCGATAGTTTGCCGAGGGGTTCTGATTCTCATAGGTATGACACCCGGAGTGCGCCAATAATCTCGTGCTTCCGAGATACAGGTTGCAACAAAACTCTCCTTATAACGCACAATCTTTTAAACGTTTAAACGAAAAACATTTTAAATATAAAATTAAAAGTTTTCTTCTAAGTAAGGGCTATTATAGCGTTGGTGAATTTTTTGAAGCAAACATCGGCAATGGCGTGTTGCGGGGCATTGTGCATTGATTGTTTTTTATTGATTATTCTGTGCTATATACATACAAATTTATTTTCTATTTGTTGTCCTGTTAGGTTTTATTGTGAACTGCAAACTATATTAATAAACAATTTTCTCCTAATTTATTCCGTTTTGCTAAAGTTTACCTTGAGGGTGTTAATAAAACTTTGATAACTACTAAAACTAACGCTCATGGCTCAGACAATGTTGATATAAAAATCATTCTTTTGACTGCTCCGTATTTAGTCGATCATGTCACGTTCCTTGTTAACAAGTGCCTGCTGACCTGGGTTTTCCCGGGCTCTTGGAACCAAGCTGAAGTTATACCCGTTCCAAAGAAAGAAAACGAATTTAGATCAATCAGTTTGTTACCAACTATCTCAAAGATTATTGAAAAAGTCGCAGCTCAACTCAATCTGTTTTTCGACCTCTTCACAGCAGTACTTCGGCCTTGCTTCATGTTACTGAATATCGCCCTTCTACGTACAATTAACTAGATAATAAAAATTCCAATAAAACTCTCGCAGGTATTGATAGCCGACAACGGAGACCCGCCTCTTTCGTCGACCACTCGAGTGGTGGTGAAAGTGGAAGACATCAACGACAACGCGCCCGAGTTCGAACAGATCTCCTACAGCGTCAGCATTCCAGCTACGGGAAATTACGACAGGGCCATGTTTCAGGTAATTCACCGCTCTATTAACGCATCACCCACCGTAAGAAAATATAAGAAAGCGGTGTGCATATCGGACATGTCGTCTCGTGGAAAATAAACGCAATTACCCGGTCGCATCCTCGCGTTATCTCACGTACCGTCCACATGTCACTCCGTGCTCCCAGACATTCATTTTTCTCCTCCGTAAAATATTCAACGTGCCGCGTATTGCACGTGCCGTCACGGGGGCCCTTTTTTGTCGTTGTTATGTACGGAGTTTGCTAGATGCTGAACGATATAGTTTTGACAAATTGCCCCGGCTTCAGGTTCGTAACCGGTCAACAAACACGATAAAGTGGACAGGCTTTAATAAATGAACGCGTCCGAGCATTTATTATGCGCAGCGGAACTTTGTACGTATTAGGAATTATGGTACCATAACGGTATTCGCAAATCGCTCGGTACAACTTGTCCCATGCGAATTTTTGGCATTTTTGGGTTTGTATGTGTAGCTGCTTGTCTACCATTTCCCGACACCCCGTTTCTGTTTCTCTCCGTTTTGTACCCAATCGGCACACCGAACGCACAAGCCATTGTAAATACAATTCGAGACATTAACCCCTTTGTGCACTGCCCCAGAACGATGCTCGAGGATACTTGGTGGACGATTTCGACGGTGCCGATGCCGCTACCGACTCGGAGCCGTGGGAAAGTCACGGGCCTCGTGACTTTAAGGATTTAGATCCCGCCGTACGGGTAAGGCAGGACGAGAAATCGCACACTAACTGAAGCTTGTACGCGACCCCAGACACGAGTCGTCAGTTTGTGGCGACGCGTAGAGAATGCGTCCTTTCGGCATGACTAATCGGGCTCCGGGGATTTTTTATTCGGAGACTGTCCGTTGGGAAACGGCTAATAACTTTTTGTTTTCCCTGCAAAAAAATAGCTTCGAATATAGTTTCTTCGCTAATCTGCAAAACTAGTTGCAGTGAACAACAAAGGGCAGGATGGTAGGATTTATAGTCCGGATTGAGGAGTGGGTTTCCTTCACAATTCTGCGTGTTATGACTGCCATTTCTTCGTAAAAACGCTGTTGTAGGGAAAAGAAACCGAGTTGAACTGATACTCGATGAAAATCCATTTATCACAATAAATAAGAACTAAAAGTTCAGATTTTCACGAAATTATATATATATATATATATATATATATATATATATATATATATATATATATATATATATATATATATATATATATATATATTTTACATGACAATTGTCTCGAAAACACGGTGTCTTTATCAAATGTAATATTTACAAACTACCTGCTACTATATATTCCGAAAAATGACCATAAAACCTTAATTAATGTTGTTGCGAGAATTTAAATTCAATAAAGGAGAGGTATTTAATTCTAATTGATCGTTAAGCAATACATTTGGATGTGTCATTTTGTTAATCTCAATGGCTTCCAATAAATTTAAATTTCTACTTTAAGTGTGTAGCATAATTAAAATCTAGACTATTGTTTTTAAACGCTCTTCTATGTTCGTTAACCCAATATAAATTTTATAAATTTTAGGACAAGATCCGCGTTTCAACCTCTAGACACCTGATTTTTGAGATTTTCAACATGTCATTTTATTTTTTAAAATTTTTCCTATTGTGCTGCTTTTTTTTCGTAGAGTGCGAAAACAAAAAGATCCAGCCGTTTCCCTTAACGACGTACCCGCATACGCCGCCACCCATCACACCGAAATCACACATCGCTTCTTCCTGTGCATGAAATATTTTCCTTTTTAACCCGTCCGAAACGTCGGACACGGGAAGTTTTCTGTTATGCACCCGCCCACACCACTCCGATGCAAGTTCTGTGTTTCCGTTTTGTCGTAGCAATGTTTGCGCGTTCGTTATCAAACCGGGGGGGCGAGCACAAACCGCATCACCGTGGGAGGGATAACGCTAACGTTCCCATTAAAGCGATCAAAAACAAAATCGTTTGTGTTCGTCCTTGCGAGCGGTATCGCTCGTTCACCATCTTTTCGCGTCCTTTCCGCGAACAATAGCGAATGTGCACGATGCATGCCACGAGCCCGCATTCAGACTCCCCCTACTAAAACGCTCGACGTTCATTTGTATCCGTTTTCTATCTGTACGTGTCATTTTTCTTGGTCGGTCATTTGTAAAACACGAAGATGAGTTACGATTGTTTGAATTCGTACGCTGCCGCGACACAATTTTCCAGTTGTAGTTGAGAGGGTTGATTTGTTTAGTCGAATGACAGCGAGAATGGTCCCCGAACCAAAGTTCAATTTAATATAACCCTATCCCCACAGGGATAGAAAAATGGAAAACTGTTATTAATTATTCTTGAAGTTATGCACAATTCTCATATGCCTCGACCTCAAACCAAAAAAACCCAAAGAGTAACTCAAGGCGTTATCTTTGACACGTTTAAACGTATTATTTCGTGTAGGTGTTAGCGTTTGACCGAGACGCAGGAGACAACGCCCGTTTGAGGTACCACATCAAATCGGGAAAGGGCCGCTCCAAGTTTAAGATTGACAACAGTACCGGCATGGTCTACGCCCAAAAGGGCTTCGAACCCGGTCAAGAATATGAGCTGAACGTAAGTGGTTTCGAGATTTAAGCTAAACGCTAAGTTCGATATTGATGGCGTAGATCAAGGCTACGGACAACGGCAACTCAACCAAAAGCAGCATCTGCAAAGTGTCGGTACGGGTTGTCCCGGTTCCGGAAACTTCCAAGCATCCTCCTACTGTTAAAACACCTCAGCCCGTTAAACTGACGGAAGGTGACGGAATTGGCTTCTTGGTAGCACTCATCCAGGCCACCGACCTAGATAACGATACGCTGTGGTACGACATTGTGGGTAAGTCGACGTCCTGCAACACCCAGTACGTTTTTTTGATTTTATACTACATACACTCTACTTATTTCTGCAGGTGGTGACGAGCGAAATGATTTTTACATAGGGAGGGATACGGGTAACATCCTCATAGCGCACAAGCTCGACCACGAGCTCCAAAACGAGTACTTCCTTAACATCAGCGTGACCGACACTGTGAACGTCGCTTACACTCAGCTGAACGTCACCGTCATTGACATCAACGATCACCGTCCGGAGTTTTCCGATTCGTCGTACAAAGTGGATATTTCGGAAGCCGTACCTGTCGATACGGAAATTTTCAAGCTTCGTGCGACCGACAAGGACGAAAACGACAAACTCATATACAGTTTTTATTCCGCGGAAAATATTGTTTCGTTAAAAACGTTTAAACTGGACTCTATCACCGGAGTTATCATGCTGGCGAACGCTTTGGATCGCGAAACGTTGTCCGAACATGTCCTAACGGTTATGGTCCGCGATGGCGGAACCCCAGCCAAAAAGAACTTGGCCAGGTTGCACATAATAGTCCACGACCACAACGACCACGCTCCCCACTTTACCGATAAGATATTGGTGGGAAAAGTATACGAAACTGCAGCTGTGGGTAGTGTGGTGCTCCGCGCTTTAGCTGTGGACCACGACAAAGGCGAGAACGCTCGTATATCGTACTCAATCGTCAGCGGCAATGTCGGTAACGTATTCTCCATCGACCCGGATATGGGGACGATAAAGACTGCCCGCGAATTGGACTTGATGACGGCCTCCGAGTACACTCTGCACATTAAAGCAATGGACCACGGTCAACCGTCGCTGTCTTCGACCGTACCGGCTCACATCTCTCTGACGATGGCCGATAATGCCCCTCCCAGGTTCGTCAACAAAGAGATTGCCGCCGAAATCTACGAGGACCAACCGCTGGGTAGCTACGTGGCTCACATGGACGTCAGAAGCACCTCGTCGTTGCAATTCGAAATCTTGGCTGGCAACGAAGACGGCGTCTTCATAGTCAGCCCCAGCACCGGAGTAATCACGACGCAGAAGTATTTGGATTACGAGACCGACAAGTTCTACAACTTAACTGTGATAGCCACTAACATGGTGCGTAACTTCTCCCTTATATTTGTCTCATATCACCGGAAATTGCTTTTTCAGGCATCTGTTTCCGCAACGTGTAACGTCATCATCCATATACTGGACAAAAACGACAACGTTCCTCAATTCCTGCAGTCTCATTACTACGGATTGGTGAGCGAATCGGTGCCGATCAACTCACTGGTGTTGACAAACGCTAGCGAGCCGCTGGTGATCAAAGCTACTGACGCGGATTCCGAGAGGAACGCGCTACTTCATTTCGACATAATCGAAGTGCTCCCCAGGAGATACTTCCAAATCGACTCGAATACGGGAGCGATACGCACCATAAGATTGTTAGACCACGAGGCCATGCCCAACTTCAGTTTTCACGTGCAGGTGTCGGATATGGGGAAACCTAAACTCGAGTCCGAGACTACTGCCAAAGTGGACATCGTCGTCACGGACGTCAACGACTGTCCCCCGCTTTTCACAAGCGCGTCTTACAACGTAACGCTTCTACTGCCTTCGTATAAAAACGTGGCGGTCATTCAAGTGAACGCCACCGACCCGGATAGTTCCGAGATCGACTACCTAAAGTACGATATCATCGAGGGCAATAAAATCGGCTCATTCGCGATCGACTCGCGATCGGGCCTCATCACGCTCGCAGACCCGGAAAATTTAAAACCTTTGAACAAGTTGCATGTGCGCGTATCCGATGGGAAGTTCTCCAGCATCGCCAAGGTCTACGTGCGTGTGGAGGATTCGGACAATTCGGGTTTAGCTTTTCAGAAAGCGTTCTACGAGGGTAACATCATCGAGAACACCACCAAAATCACCACCGTCTGCGTGGTTAATGTGTTGGGCAGCGCTCTTAACGAACACTTGGAATTTGCGATCCTCAATCCGACGGACATGTTCACGATAGGACCAACGTCGGGTGTAATACGCACCACCGGTAAAAAATTCGACCGAGAGTTGCGGGATAACTATGAGCTCATCGTCGAGGCGAAAAGTAATGCGCCGCCTAGAGACCGACCTAGGGTTGCACACGTTGTGGTCAACGTCACCGTGCTCGACATCAACGACAACTGTCCGATGTTCGTAAACTTGCCGTACTACGCGGTAGTGTCGGTGGACGACGAGAAAGGTTCCGTTATCGCCCAAGTTCACGCGATCGACTTGGACGCGTCGGAGAACGGGGAAGTCCGTTACGAACTCATCCGAGGTCACGGAGAACTATTCAAGGTGCAGAGAGAGACCGGCCACATCGAGATCAAGCAGAAACTCGAGGGACACAATCGAGAGTACGAACTCCTTATCGCGGCCTACGACAAAGGTAGGTTTCACACGTGAATAAGTGCCTTAAAACCAAGTTGACTCACGGTGGTCTCGGGTTTAGGGATTACACCGTGCAGGACTGACGTGACGGTCCACGTAAAGGTTATCGACAAGTCGATGCCGGTATTCAAGAAGCAATTCTACACCGAAACGGTTCCAGAGAATGTGGAACTTCACTCGCCGCTATCGGTATCCATCGAGGCCGAGTCGCCGTTATCGAGGAAATTGATTTACAGTATCGTCCGTGGCAACGAACTGGAGGAGTTCGCGTTGGATTTCAACACCGGTAAGTGTTCGTTCGGCAACGGGTTATCGTCGCCCAACTTAATCGCCCAATTCTTGTCCAGTAGAAACTTCACCTGGTAATCGGGTATTGTACAAAAACCTGACGGAATTTTTACGGCACCTTAATAGGTCCGCGGGCACACCACAAGGTATTAACGGGTTTCGTGTGTTTTGCGTAGATCATTGGACGTGTTTGAGTGGTGTTGGTTTTTATCCCTTTTTTAACATGATTAATAACAATGCAGAGCACGCAAAACTTTTAGAAAATATTTAACATTTTTTACGAACTAGTCGGTTAGCGATGCGGTCCCAAATAATTAATACACGCTTGTTTTTCGCAGCTCCTGACAGTAGCAACGGCCCTTGTGAGTATTAAGCTGGTAGTATGCTAACCGCCCCTCGCGCTGTAGTCTCTTAGCTTAGTTTCGCATGCGTTCCCACACTTCCCCGCCATTAACACACCGTTTGCGAAAAATTATATGATCATGAAGTTATATGATACCTATTGCTACTTTTGCCCCATTCATCTTACGAATTCGATGTCTCCTTGCTCCGGCAGCTCCGCTTATCTCGTTCATATTTTTCAACATCCGTTCGCTTTCTAGCCGTGATATCGGTGATAGACGAATTGGATTACGAGCAAACGCCCCAATACGAACTTCTCATAAGGGCGACCGATTCCGTGTCCGGTGTTCACGCCGAGGTACCCGTCTCCATCGTCCTTCAAGACGTGAACGATTGTCCTCCCGAATTCGGTCAGGAAAACTACAACGTGTCCGTTTCGGAAGCGGCCCAGTTCGACACGCCCGTCCTGACCGTAGTCGCACACGACAACGACACCGGAATCAACCAGAAGATCACTTACTCTATTCAGAAGGACAACAACAACGCAACGGACTACTTCTACATCGACGAACACGACGGCAGCGTCTACTTGAAACAATCGCTAGATCACGAAGAAGCTAGCTCGCATCACTTCGTCGTAGTCGCGACAGACCAAGGCGTGCCCAGCTTGAACAGTACCGCCCACGTTTGGCTCAAAGGTGAGCGTTTAAAAAAAACGCATATCTCACTTTATTGTTCATCCTTCGCAGTCATCGACATGAACGACAATCCGCCGAAATTCGAGCAAACGTCCTATTCCTGCGGACTGTCGGTGAGCGCAAAACGAGACCAATTCGTGACCCTCGTGAAGGCTAGCGACGTGGACGAAGTGGATCGCGACAACCTACGTTACACCATAGTGTCGGGCAACGAGCAGCAGACCTTCTCCATGGACCCGGCTACGGGAATAGTCACCCTAGTGAACCTCGCTAACTTCGGCAACCAGAAAATGATGCTGCTGAACGTCTCGGTGAGCGACGGAGTGTACACTAGTTTCGTCCGCCTCAAGGTGGAACTGATTCCCGCAAATTTGCATGCGCCGAGATTCCGGGACGTCGTCGTCGACGTAACGGTACCCGAAAATCGTATGCCAGGTATTACGCTGACCACCTTGAACGCCACCGATCAGGATTTCGGGGAGTTTGGTACCGTGACTTACACCATTCATTCGGATTTGTTGAACGAAATATTCGCGATCGATAAACATTCGGGACGGCTACAAACCAGGACGCGGTTGGACCGCGAGAAACGGAAGCAGTACGAGATTCCGGTGATGGCGTCGGACGGCGGCGGCCTGAACGCGTTCCTCATGGTGCGCGCGAGGGTGACGGACGAGAACGACAATCCTCCCCGATTCTTGCTCAAAGAATACAAAGTGAGCATCCCGTCAAATTTCACTACAGGTTTGACGTTCGCCAAAGTGAAAGCGGTAGACGCGGACGATGGCCCGAACGCAGAGATCGAGTATTCGATTTACGAGAAGAAGTCGTCGGAAGTGACGAATATTTTCGGAATCAATCCCATCACCGGGGAAATGTTTTTGTTCGGCAACGTGTTCGCGTGGGGTAAGTTGAATCTATCCTCTAATCTAACATTCCTTAGATTACCAAGATGCCCGGGGACGGGTAATAGTGAAGTTAGTTATTCCTACTACTAATAGTGGTAGTGCAATTCCAACACTTGTGATATAATGAATGTTCTTTACCCGTAGTGGGCGAGGTCTTCCAATTCTTCGTCCGGGCAACCGACAAAGGTAAACCGGAACGAAAGCACTCTGACGTACCGGTCAACATCGTCGTCATGGGCCCGAACGATTCGCCACCAGTGTTCGAGCGTAAAGACGGAAAGTTCTTCCTGTCGGAAAACACCCCGACCGGCACCGCGATCGCGAGGCTTAAGGTGGTGTCGAACGTGTCGGTCAACTTCCAGATCGTCTCGGATTCCGAGGAAGACCCCCAGTTCAGCGTCGACGGCCAAGGTCAGCTGTCGCTGGCGCGGCCGCTAGACTTCGAGGTCCAGTCAAGTCACGTCGTAGGGGTGTTGGCCCTGACCGACTCCAGCCCGCCCCTGACCGCGCTCTCCGAGATCACCCTTCAGGTCCAAGACGAGAACGATCATGCGCCACAATTCGAGAGCGCTGCGTACGAATTGATTCTGGCAGAAAATGTCGCGGAAGGCACGCCCATTCTCAAGGGTAAGGGAAGTTGTTACAATCTGTCATCGCAATATTTAAAAGGTGTACAATATTTAATGACTTGATTGTGTCGCTCCATCCGCTCTGCGTCAGTGCTTCTTTAATGTGTATCCTAAACAATAGCTGAAGAGATTTTCTTTCAATTTTCCTATTTCCTACGGGATCGCCGTCGGTATAGAAATGATCACCGTCAAAAAAAATTTTTTAATATAAGAAGTGACCCTGATCCGACGCCGGTATTCATCTTTTTTTCGCGATGTTCGACTGTTTTTTGGACCTTGCTATGAAACACGATAAGTGTCCGAAATTTGAAGCAATCGACTTCATATTGGGCACATCTATGCAGCTTTGCCCCGTGACGGAACCTATTGAGAGTGGGGGGGCTGGGGGGTCGGGAAGTATGTAAAAAAAAAATAAAAATCGCGCGTCTATAAAAAAGACCATTTTTCAAAAACCGTCTACAAGACCAAAAAAATGCTTGAACCAGAAGACGCAGAGAAATCGACTCCATTAACAATTGACAATTTTTAAAAAATATACAGGGTGCGCCGCATTCAAATATACTGAAAAATGGGTTCCTCTATTATTGAAAATTGGCAATAATTTCAAATCTGTTTTAGATGTCAGTTTATTTTACATGAAGATATAGCCCATATAGACAGCTTAAACTTTTGTATTTATGGTTTTTTAAGTATTGTACAGGGTGTTCGCGACATTCCGTGCAATATTAAAAAACATAATAAGTTCAGGCTTGGGAGAGAAGTAGAAGTCTGAACCCGCATTTAGACTCTTTAAATTGGGAGCAATTAAATAACGCGAAGTATTTTTTTTTATTTTTGATTTTTTTTTGTGGTTATTTTGGCATCCAGAAAAACACCGTAAATTGAAATTCGCACAAACAATAGTTAATCCGCCCAAACAGTGTTAAAAGCCGTATCAAGGGCTACAATTTTTGTATTTTTTTACTATTTTCGTCTATCGCATACGCTGTTTGAGATATTTGAAAAAATCCAAATGAAAATCACCATTTCTCACCCTCAATCTAGACGCGATGACATCATTTACTATTACTACGTATTTGCATAGTTTCAGAAAACAAGTAGTTTTTTGAAAACCATTTACCATTTAATTCTGATACCAGGAAACTAAGGAGTTCCAGGGCTATGTTCTCTATTTCGGACATTGTTGAATTATATACAGGGTGCGTCGTTTGTGGGCAAAAAATTCTAATAGATCCGCTTTTGTGGGTGAATTATCGGCGATACATGAAAAACTTTTAAAGATGTGAAAATTTGATATGAAAACAATATTGTAAACTGTGTTGAGAGAGAGCTTAAAGTTTCGTCTGTAATACAGGGGACGCAAGATATTTAAAAAAATATGTAATTTTAAAATGGCAATTACGAGTACAAATTTTAATATTTACCGAAGTGTGCGGTAACTTTGAAGTTCGACGAGATGTGAAGGACACTTTATACATCAAATTACATCGATTTTGCGAAAGTTCCATAGTGGTCCGCAGGAGCTTGATAGAAAAACAATGCGTCCCTCTAGGGCCAGAATCCGCGAAGCGCCTTCTTTTTAAAATAATTAGCTGAATGAATATTTTTATTTCTCTTTGTGTAAGCCCATCTAGCCAGATCTAATCAACGAGCTGATGTTAGATAAAGAGTGCTTTTTGATTAGTCATCGCCCACGACGAAGACCAAGGCAGCAACGGCGAGATCCGGTACAGTTTGACATCAGAGACCACCGACATCATAAACTGTTTCGCGATCGACACTCATACGGGTTGGATCAGCACGCTGGTGAGGCTAGACAAGGAAACGCGGGCCGAGTACAAGTTCTACGTCACCGCTACCGACAACGGCACACCCAGGCATTCGGCCCGCGCGTTTGTCGTCATCAGATTAAAGGACTACAACGACAGTCCTACAGTCTTCAAATCCGATTTCTACGAGAGCTCCGTTAGAGAAGATGCCTTACCCGGCACGGTTCTACTTACTTTAACGACTAGCGACGCCGACGTCGACCTGACGACGCCGGTAGACTTTTATATAACGTCGGGCGATCCCTCTTCTCAATTCCAGATCAGGCAGACCGGTGAACTCTACGTCGCGAAACCCCTCGACAGGGAAAGAGTTGCCGATTACGATTTGAACATAATCGTCACCGACGGCTTGTTCACGAACGCTACCAAAGTCGCCGTTACCATTCTGGATGCCAATGGTATTTTTTTTATTCCCTGCTGGGTTTATATACCGCTTAAACTCGGCGGAATTTTCCAGATAACGCGCCATATTGCCTGAAGTATCGCTACAAGCAAGTGCTATCCGAGGGTATCGTTCCCGGTTCATTCGTCCTTTCGGTATTGGCAACCGACCTCGACGGACCGGACCACTCGAAACTGCGATACGTTCTTTCCGGGGAAGGTTCCGAGAGTTTCCTGCTCGACAAGGATACGGGCTACCTCAAAACCGTACTGCCTTTGGACCGGGAAACTCAAGCTAAATACGCGCTGACCGCTCACGTCCACGACAAAGAGCACGCCAGTTGGGAATGCTCGTCCCGCATCGAGCTGGTCATCTCCGACCTCAACGACAACGCGCCCGTCTTCAGTTTACCAGACTACAAGGCGGCGCTTCCCGAAGACGTAGAAACCGGTACCCTAGTGACGAAGATACACGCCACCGACGCGGACATCGGTATCAACCGCAAAATCAAATACTCGTTTCTGGATTCGTTCAACGACCATTTCCTGATGGCGCCGGACAGCGGTATCGTCACCTTGGCTAAACCGCTGGACCGCGAGATCAGAGCTTTCTACAATTTGACGGTGCAAGCGGCCGACCAGGGCACGCCCCAGCTATCCACCGTTACCCACCTAGTGGTCAACGTCCAAGACATCAACGACAACCCGCCGGAATTCGCGAACAAATACTACTTCGCGACGGTGCCGGAAATCGACGCCATCGGTACCGAGGTGGTACGGGTGCTGGCAACCTCCAAGGACATAGGACCGAACGCGGAAGTCTTCTACTCGATCATCGGGGGTAACGAGCACAAGAAATTCGCCATCAACAAGACGACGGGCGTTATCACCATAGCCGACACGCTGGACTACGAGAGAGCTAAGGACTATTTCCTGACGATCCAAGCTATAGACGGCGGCATCCCGCCGCTTAGTAACATCGCCACCGTCAACATCACCGTCACCGATTGTAACGATAACGCGCCGGTATTTAACCAGGCGTCGTATAGCGCCAGGATAAGGGAAGACGCGTCCGTCGGCGACAAAATTTTACAGGTGAGCGTCTTATGGTACGGCTTAGTATAATACCAGAGACATAGACCATATATTTTTAGAATTAAATTCACACAATTATTTATTTATTTTGGCTACAAGTGTGTCTAATTACAAATTTTACTACTGTTTAAGTGAAATGTGCAATTCTGCCGCCATTTTCACCCTAATTCGTATTGCTTTTGCAACACTGGACACGGAACTATCCCACTTCTGATGTTAACTTAAGGGGTGGCGTAAGGGTTTCAACCCTGAATAAAACTCTCTCCAAAAACCAAAGCACTGTTCTATTTGACCACCTATTACAACATTGCCTATCGGATCTTCGGTCTATGTCGTACTCCCATTCGTTCTTGCGTAGCTGAAACGGCATGCGGCCCATCCGTCCTAACTCAGCTTACGTGACTTGTGGCGACCATATAAAAGAACAAATTTTTTTTTTCGACTTCGAAGCAATTTTTTTTATTTTAGAAATTTTACCTTTTTTTTTTTTCACAAACTTATCTTAAAATAGATATTGTTGCCATATGCCACATGCCATTTCACCAACTACAAGGTTGGTGAAATGAGATAACATGGACAATTTTTGGGGTATATTAAAAATTAAAAAAAAATGTATCAAGCTTCGGGGGTTTTTCGAAATCTTACAAGGTATAATTTTTACAATTTTTTTTTTTTATTTTTGACTTTCTTCAATTTGGTATTTTTTAATATTTTAATTTTACCAACTTTTCAGTTCTTTATGTTGATATATTTAGTATCAATATTTTATAGTAGCACATATTGTAGTAGTATTTTGAAACCTTGATTAACAGAAAATAATCAAGTTTTTCTGCTTTTTAATCATTTGTATTAGTTCGGTGAGATTTGGATGGTTGGATGTCTTTTCGCAATTTTATTTTTCATACGGATATTTGGAATGTAAAATGAGTTAAAATTTTTGTGCAACTAAAGTGATTTTTAAATAAAAATGTATCGCATTTCCACAAAAAAAAATTGTTGGGGAAGGTAAAACGGAGAAATGCGAAATGTGACGGAAATTTTCCAAAAGAACATTTCGGTGCAGGAAAACAATTTAAATGTAAAAATGCTCAATTTTTCGTAGACTTTTTAGGAAAACATGCAGAACATGCTAAAAGCATAAAACGATTTTGTGAGAAGCCCAAACAATAGTGTATTAATAAGGAAGAGGTATTAAATATAACTGCAAAATTAACAAAATATAATAGTTAAATTTGTGTGCCAAATAATTGAGCAAGGAGCAATTATCAAAGGCTCACTTTTGTTGAACACCCTATCTAGTTTTTTACCGTCTTATAAAAAAAATATGTTTTAATAAAAAAAATTGAAAGCTCCTTCTTACGCACTATATTTTTGGGTTGCCCCGTATATGGTTTAAATCGAGTAAAGTAACTATTTTTTTTTAAATTTAAGGCGTTTCTCTTTGTACAATATAAATGTGAATAAAATCATTTCTAGCTAGCACTGTGCGACTAATAGTTGCCCTTTTCAGATCGTCGCGACGGACCTGGACAGCGGCGCCAACGGTAACGTCACCTACTCGATCATCCACGGCGACAATCAGCGCCGCTTCGCCATGGACGAACAATCCGGCTACGTTTCTGTTGCCGCCCCCTTAGATAGGGAGTCCGTATCCGGTTACGTCCTCGAGATATTAGCCAAAGACAACGGTGTGCCCGTGCTTTCTAGACAAACGCTGCTCAATATAGAGATATCCGACGCCAACGACAACCCCCCGTTGTTCTCTCAGACGAACTACACTGCGGTGATACAAGAGAACAAACCGCTTGGCTACCCGGTTCTGAGGTTCGAAGTAAACGACGACGATGTCCCGCCCAATACCGTGCCGTACACGTTCGACATCAGGTTAGGCAACGAAGGCAACTATTTCCGTCTGGATCAGGACGGCGTGCTCAGAACCGCAGCGAAATTCAACCACAAAATCCGCGATAACTTCTCGTTACAAATACGGGTGTTTGATAACGGCAGCGCGCCTCTTTATTCCGACACCTGGGTCGCCGTCAAGGTGATCGAGGAGTCGCAGTACCCGCCGATCATCACGCCGTTGGAGATCAACATAAACTCGTACCTGGACGAATACCCGGGCGGTACTATAGGCAAAGTGTATGCCAACGACCAAGACCGATACGACACTCTGACGTATTCGCTTCACCCGACTGCCGGGGTCGCCTACCCCACCCACGAGCTTTTCCAGATCAACAGAACTGACGGTACGCTGATAGCGTTGCCGCGCCTCGACGTCGGCGAGTACCGCCTCAACGTCTCGGTCACTGACGGAAAATTTTTCACCCATCACGTGGTGAAAATCAACGTGGAGGTGCTCTCCGAGGGGATGCTTGAAAATTCGGTAGGCGTGCGGTTCAGGGATATCACTCCGGAGTCGTTCGTTCTCAGTCACAGGAAGGGATTCGTGCGGGCAGTCCGAAACGCTATGAGTTGCCGCCTGAAGGACGTGGTGATCATCAGCGTTCAGCCGTCATTGGACGAGGACTTGCTAAGGGCGAAACGCAACGCCCATAAGGACCTGGACGTCCTGTTCACCGTCCGGAGACCGGACGACGGCTTTTACGGCCCCGACAGTATCAGAAAAGCTCTGAACGATAACCTGGAGGAGCTCGAGGAGAGCACCAAGCTCGTAGTCGAGGAGATAATCCGTTTAAAGTGTAACGCACAATACTGCATGTACGGCGTGTGTCAGGATCGCTACGTGCTCGATATCTCGGTAATCGAACCCATCTCCACGGATGTCACTAGTTTCGTGTCGCCGCGACACCGCCAGAAACTGGAGTGTCTCTGCAAAGAGGGTTACGGCGGCGAAAAGTGCGACACGATAGTTAACGAGTGCGCGCGCGACCCGTGTCCCGCGTACAAAATCTGCGTGCCCGACGCATCCCAGACAGGTTATTCCTGCCAATGTCCGGAAGGTTACGCAGGCGCGTCCTGTGACGTCGACATATCCAAGTGCCACGACCAGAACTGTTACATCGCTCGAAATCCGATCTCGTTCGCCGGTAAAAGTTACTCGCAGTACCGGATCATCAACAAAAAGTCCATCGAGGACCAGTTGAGCCTTAGCCTGCGTGTGCGCACGCTCCAACCTACCGGCAATTTGATGTATGCCGCCGGCAAGGTCGACTACAACATCCTGGAGATAGTCAACGGCGGCGTCCAGTACCGTTTCGAACTGGGCAGTGGTGAAGGTATAGTCCGCGTGGGTGACGTTTACGTGTCCGACGGCAGTTGGCACGAGATCAAATTGGAACGGGACAGGAACAACGCCAAGATAATCATCGACGGAACGTTCACGGCCCAAGGCTCCGCGCCCGGGGTCAGCGAGATTTTAAACCTCCAGAGCGATGAGATGTACTTGGGCGCCGAAGTACACCAGCACCCGTCGATATTGGGCTTCGAGGACGTACAAAAGGGTCTCTCTGGTTGTATGGACGACATCCGCATCAGCCGCGTGTCGGTGCCGTTGCACAAGTCCGGCGAAAATTCGGTCGTCGTCCTGAAACGCTTCGCCAACGTGGAGTTTAGTTGCGACACCGGAACCGTTCTGACCCCACCAGGTCCGTGCGGTTCCCAGCCCTGCATGAACGGCGGCACTTGCCGGGAAACAAAGACCGGGTACGTTTGAGTTATCACATGGAACGTCTCGTTTTGGTACCCAACGGGGCACTAACGCTTTTTCTAGATTTTCACTATTATGTTTCAAAGAGCACCTGTTTCATTCGTGCACCTAAGTTGGCGCCAGGTTCTTACCAACGTACAAGGTTCTGAAGCCACGTTTCTTATCTTATTTGTCCACGATTTCGAGCTTTTTACTTGGGGACTGAATGTTGCATTTGGTAGATGAATCCAGATTATATCTAAAAAATCTTATTTAGGGGTTAGATTTGAATTTGTCCTTTTTAATCTGTTTCAAATACTGTTACAGGTTCAGTTGGAGTAAAAAACTTAACATTAAACATAACCTCTCAATTTTCACTCATTTAAGACCAAGAACCTGATGAAATAAATCATGTTTTGGCTGCCAAATTGAAAGTCCGGGTATGTTTGAGTTATCACACGGAACGTCTCGTTTTGCCCAACAGGCAACTAACTCTTTCTCTAGATTTCCACTATTATCCTAGAAAGAGCACCTATTTCATTCTTGCACCTAAGTTGGCGTCAGGTGCTTACCAACGTACAAGGTTCTGAAGGCACCTTTCTTATCTTATTTGTCCACGATTTCGAGCTTTTTACTTGGGGACTGAATGTTGCATTTGGTAGATTAATCCAGATTATATCTAATACATCTTATTTGGGGGTTAGATTTGAATTTGTCCTTTTTAATCTGTTTCAAATACTGTTACAGCTACAGTTGGAGTAGAAAACTTAACTTAAAATTGCCGTGTTGAATTCAGTTTTACAACATAACCTCCTTCTCACCTTTTACTCATTTAAGACCAAGAACCTGATGAAAAAAATCATGTTTTGGCTGTCAAATTCAAAGTCCGAGTACGTTTGAGTTATCACACGGAACGTCTCGTTTTGTCCAACAGGGCACTAACGCTTTCTCTAGATTTCCACTATTATCCTAGAAAGAGCATCTATTCCATTCTTGCGCGGAAGTTGGCGCCAGGTGCTTAACAACGTACAAGGTTCTGAAACCACCTTTCTTATCTTATTTGTCCAAGCCTCTTACATGAGGACTGAATGTTGCAATTGATAGATTAATCTAGATTATATCTTAGGCGTTACATTTTTTTTTAATCTGTCTCAAAGACTGTTATAGGTGCAGTTGGAGTAGAAAGTTTAACTTGACAATTGCCTGGTCTACAACATAGCATCCTCTCACTTGTCACTCATTTAAGATCAAGAACCTAGATTTCCACCATTATCTTTGAAAGAGCACCTATTTCATTCTTGCGCGGATGTTGGCGCCAGGTGCTTAACAACGTACAAGGTTCTGATACAACTTGTCTTATCTTATTTGTCCAAGACTTCGAACCTGCTACATGGGGACTGAATATTGCAATTGGTAGATTCATCCAGATTACATCTATTATATCTTATTTAGCGGTTAGATTTAGTGATTTTTAATCTATCTCAAAAACTGTTACAGGTTCAGTTGGAGTAGAAAGCTTAACTTAACAATTGCCTGGTTGAATTGAATTCTACTCGCTCTCACTTTTCACTCATTTAAGATCAAGAACCTAGATTTCCACCATTATCTTTGAAAGAGCACCAATTTCATTCTTGCCCGGAAGTTGACAACGTGCAAGGTTCTGATACAAATTGTCTTATCTTATTTGTCCACGACTTCGAGCCTTTTACATGGGGACTGAATGTTGCAGTTGGCAGATTAATCCAGATTATACCTATTATATCTTATTTAAGGGTTACATTTGAATTTGGCTTTTTTTATCTTTCTAAAGAACTGTTACAAGTTCAGTTGGAATAGAAAGCTTAACAATTTCCCGGTTGAATTGAGTTCTACAACATAACATCAATTGAATTGAATTGGGGACTGAACGTTGAAATTTGTAGATTAATCCAGATTATATTTTGAGTTTGGTTTTTTTAAATCTGTCTCAGAAACTTACACAGGTTCAGTTGGAATAGAAAACCTAAATTAACAAAAGCCCGTTGAATTGAGTTATACAACATAACATCTCTTTCACTTTTCACTCATTTAAGATCAAGAACCCGACGAATGTATCTAAAACACATTTTGGGAGTCGAATTAAGAACTTCCCCATCATAGGATACTTATCGATCCGCAGATTCGACTGCGAATGCCACGCCCGCTACAAAGGGACGCTCTGCGAATTGGACACGGACCCGTGCGCGTCCGGCCCGTGCCTCTACGGTGGGAAGTGCACTCCCACCATCGCCGGCGACTACGTCTGCGAGTGCGTTCTACGCCTGAGCGGTAAACGATGCGAGTACGGCAGACACTGCTCGCCGAATCCGTGCAAGCATGGCGGCGTCTGCGAGGAAGGCGACGACGGACCGTTGTGCAAGTGTCGTTCTTTCGCCGGCGACTTCTGCGAGTACGACCTCAACGAGTGCGACTCGAACCCGTGCCAAAACGGCGGCACGTGTTTCAACGAGATCGGTTCGTTCAGGTGCGCGTGTCCGCCCACCGTGACGGGTCCGTTATGCGCGAACGGAGTCTACGAGACCGCCTTCTCGACGACGTTCTTCAACGTCACTTGGAAGGATCTTCTGTACGCGGCCGTCGCGTTATCCGCCTTGCTTCTCCTCACGTTGATCGTGTGTTGCACGTGCTGCGTGAGACGACGCGCCAAGAAACGAAGACGCGAAATGATCAACAACGAGAACGTCAAAGACAACAACGTGCTCAACTCGAATAGGCCCCACGAGATGTGCGATTTTAAACGCGGTTCGAAACTCAGCAACCTCGAGGTGAACCACCGCGAGCTGCAACCGATGTGTCAGCCGAGGCCGCTGTCGTACACTCCCAGTTCGCAAAACGACGCCGCGTACGGATGCAACAACAACAGCGCGGCGGCGACGCTGATGCTCAACAATCTCGACACGCTGCGCAGCTATGGCTCGGCGGGAGACGAGTTAGAGAACGTGCCGCCCGACTATGTGCGCAACCTGAACCGCAGCATGCCGCAAGGTTGCGTGACCGGCAACTACAACGACTCGGAGAAAATCAAGTGGGCGGAGCAAGTACAGCTGGCGTCAAACTTCGGCGACAAGGCGAAGATTAAAAACGGTAAGGCGTATACTCCAAGATTCACTTTTCTCTTCGGCTTCTTATCTAATCCACGGCTCTTCTTTTTTCTTTACTTCTAATGGCCACGACTGCATAAGGTCATTCGGCCAGCTTGCACAATTTTTCACATTATTCAGATATCCTAAAGAATGCCTTCTTAAGAGAAGGGTCTGGACCAATCCATCATCCTCCAGGTTATACAAAAACGGAAACAACTTCTAAATAAATTGTCATAAAATGACGACCGATTGTTCAAACGGCTCCCGCAATTATCTTATACGGGATGTCCGATCCCATCCGGCCTGGTTACCAGCGTGAATACAAGATAGCCGGAAACCGTGTTAACACACATCTCATGGAATTACACATCACGAATCCGTGTACATCCGCGTAAGACGGACACTATTTCCCAAACTTTTAGGCACTAACACTTCGGATAACAAATATACGTAACAATATTTTCTTTAAACGACACTAATTTTGACCGATTTCTACAAATTTTTGGAACCGGGCAGGAGCAACGTCCGCCATGTGCAATGGTTCCATCGAAAACCCCTAATCCAGGGTTTGGTATTTGTTCTTCTTCTTTTTTTATAGTTCTTCTTCTCCTGCTTTTAGTATATTAGATTTTAGTTTTGTCCATGCCGTTTCAATGTCATCTGTCTCACAGCTATTTTCTCGGCAGATCCAATGATATAATGATTATAAAGCTGTAAGAAACAGAGTCGACGAAAATATTCGAAAAATCAAAAGAAAACATTGAAACTGAAATAAAAGAAAACCAATCAATGAATACATACAAAACACAAAAATCACGGCAGACGAATGGGATGGACATTTTAAAAAACTTTAGGGTTTAAATTATACCTTTGTGAGAATGGCAGACAAATTAGGCAATAAAATACCTGTGGCAAAGGGTATCAAACAAAGTGATAGATAGCCTAAGCGCAATCTTATTCAATATCATAATGGACAAAATCATAAACGAAGTAAAGCAAGCCGGGAGAGGATACCACATGGCAGATAAATATATAATAATAATAATAATAATAATAATAATAATAATAATAATAATAATAATATGATATGCTGATGATGCATTAATCATCTTAGAAGACGACGATAAAATGCAGAAGATTCTATATCAATTCCAACAAATAGCTAAAACGTACAAAATGCAAATATCCACAAAAAAAAACAAAATCTCTTACAATATCTAAACAATCGAGAAGGTGCGATTTACGATCAGATTGTAGAAGAAGTGATGTCCTTCAAATATCTAGGGACAAACATAACAAGTGACAGAAACCTAAAGAATGAAGTAAAAGTCCAAACAACAAAGGCAACATTAATTCCAGTATACCTAAAAGATTTAATTTGACGAAATATATGGGTCCGAGAAGTAAAATTTAAATGTATAAAACTTGCGTAACACCAGTCATGACATACGCAATACGAACTAGAACGGAGAACACTACCACTAAACGGCTCTTAAAAACAAAGGAAATACCTGAGATCAAGAACAGGACATTCGATGAAGAAATAAGGGACATGTGTAATATTCCGGACATAGTAAAATGGGCAAGGAGTCGCAGAAGAGAATGAAGAATGACAGAATGCCAAATGAACGATTGGCAAAAATTGCAAAGGACAAGAAACTAGACACAACGGGGCCTCCTGGAATGCGTGTTTTTTTTTTCAGTGTATAGAACTTTAAGTTGGCATTACTGTTCAAGATGGCCGCCGATTTAACAGCTGTTAAGTGATTTATTCTCAGTTTGGTTTGGCAATTCATCATGAATAGACTCACGCCTGAACAACGCTTGCAAATAGTACAATTTTATTTCGAAAATAATGGTTCTGAGCGGAATACGTATCGCGCACTACGTCCATTTTATCGTCGACAAAATCGTCCATCTGAGCAGTTAATTCGATGAACCATGCAACGTTTTCGCACCACGTTTACTCTTATTGATAACTCGCATCCCCAGAGACGCCGTACGGTGCGTACAGAAGAAGCTATTGCTGCTATAGAGCGTAGCATTGAGGAAGACCCGAATGAGGCCTTCCGCCATCGAGCACAGGAATTGGATCTGTGTCCATCCACTTTATGGAAGATTTTGCGGAAGGATCTTAGTTTACGTGCTTACAAAATCCAACTCTTGCAAGAATTGAAGCCAAGCGGTCATCAAGTAAGGCGTAGATTCGTCAAATGGGCCCAAAACGAGATTGCCGTTGTTCCCGATTTTCATAAGCGAATTTTGTTTAGCGATGAAGCGCACTTCTGGGTGAATGGCGACGTCAACAAACAAAACTGCCGCATTTGGAGCGAAGCTAATCCTCAAGTGTATGTCGAAACACCGTTACATACAGAAAAACTGACTGTTGGGTGCGCTTTATGGGCTGGTGGAATCATTGGTCTGTACTTCTTCAAAAACGATGATGGCCAGAACGTTACAGTCAATGGTGATCGGTATAGAGCTATGATTACTAACTCTTTCATTTCTGAATTGAATAACCATGGATGTGGATGTGGAGATGTGGTTTCAACAAGACGGCGCAACATGTCACACAGCTCGTGCCACAATCGATTTATTGAAAAATACGTTTGGTGGCCGCCTAATTTCACGTTTTGGACCTGTGAATTGGCCTCCAAGATCTTGTGATTTAACACCGCTAGACTACTTTCTGTGGTCTCATTGGTCTATGCGGATAAGCTACAAACGCTTGAGCATTTGGAAGGCAACATTCGCCGTGTTATTGCCGATATACGGCCACAAATGTTGGAAAAAGTCATCGAAAATTGGACGTCCAGATTGGACTACATCCGCGCCAGCCGTGAAGATTATCTTTCGGATAAATAAAATTTATGTCAATGGAATAATCCATCGTTGTTTTATTGTAACTTAAAGTTCTATACATCGAAAAAATAGCCCTTAAAAGATGGTATGAAAGCAGGTCATCAGCATCACAAATACTTCTGGCAAACCCTTTATGCAAACACAGCCACTCCTAAGTTAAGAAGAAGAATACTCCAAGGAATCAGCAGTAATGAAACAAGGTAATACATTCAAAAAGGCAAAGGCAACCCACCAATCTTGTTCTTTTTCATGCGCGTTATCCTCAGTGAACGTTGGCGATTACTATTTGATTTGTTGAAGCCCTGTAATAAGGACCTCCTTTAACAAATCTGAACTATGAAGTATGAAAAATATGTTCTTTTATAGGACGATTAGTGATCTAGTGACTCCGTGGTATTCTAAGCGCGCACTGGCACAGCCACATCTCAAACGCTTCCCGATGTTTACGTTTTTTAAAACGTCAACCATTTTTTCATTATTTTGCCATCAACTATAGGTCTATTTTTTGAAAACCCACAATTTCAATTTTTTTAGATTACAAGATTTCGAGTCCGATGAACTGCGAGCCGCCGAGCAGATTGTACGGCGGGAGGAGCAACACGGTGGCGACGAGCAATTTGAGGCCACCAAATCTGCCCGAGGACGACCAAAGGAACGTGGGCAGTGAGTACACCCCCTCCACGGATCCCGAAGAACCGAATAAAAAAATAAACTTTACTTCGATGCAGGTTATCATTGGGATTGTTCCGATTGGGCACGGCACAGCCAGACCCTGCCCAACATCACCGAGGTGCCGGGCAGTGAGATCCCCGACTCGTCCAGCTTCCACAGCAACGAGAGCAACGAGTCGCGAGTCACCAACCACCTGCCGCACCATCGGAGGCCGAACGGAGTCGCCGCCCCCACCCTGAACGAAGTGGATGCCGAGTCCGAGGAGGGGAGGAGCAGTTCGAACGGTTTGAACGCGCTTGGCGACGCGGGCAGCGAAGACTACAGGTTTACCACAGGTCGGTGCAGTTTACTCTATTCCTGTTGGATTTTGGAAATTCCTGAGAAAATTTGGACCAAAACGAAACGAACGCATTGTCCGGAATTTGTTTTCTTCGACGCTAGACTAACCACAATCCGATTAAAGGGCGTTTTCTTTTTATCTTACAATAGAATCGTCGGTAAATCTCAATTAATCGTAATAATTAGTAAATCGTCGGTGCAATGTTTGTAAATACGTCACAACGACATTCAAAGAATAATTCTATGTAAAATACGCAGAATGTTGGGCTACGTTGTTTAGTAGCTTTTTGGGGTCACTAGAGCGCAATACCCAAATCGTTATCAAACGATCGTTTTGTTCCAAGTTTCCCGAGAATTGACATGGAAAACAATCCGACGACGAGGTTTTTTCAAATGGGCGCGGCGTTTATAAACTTGCGTGCATAGAAATCGGCTTCGAAAATTTTCGTCAATTTCATTTTTATTTTTAGAAACTACTGATCAAAAAAAAAATGAGGTCGGGACTGCATGCTGGCCACTCCATAACTTGAAAACCAACTTCTGTAATGTAATCTTGCACGATCCTTGCGGTGTGCGGCCTAGCAGTGTCATGCACAAAAATTAATTCTTCTCCAATGTAATCGACATATGGTACTACATACTACCTAGCACCTGTTAAACCTAGTGTCCCTTGGTCCACCTACATAAGGGCTTTGCTCTTGATGCTTCATTCTGCAAATCATCATCACTTTTTTTCCTCGGTCCCTATCAAAAAGACATATTCTGATCTCATCTGAGAACAGAATAGACCTCCATTGGCCCAATGTCCAATTCAGATGATCCCGTGCAAAGCGTAGGCGTGCTTGTCGATGAGCTGGAGTAAGTTTTGGACAAATTGCAGTTGTTCTTGAGATCAGGTTATTTTCCTTCAGTCTTCTTCTTAGTGTCCACTGACTAATAGCCAGTCTTCGAACTTCATGGAGCAGTTGAACCGCGATTCTTGAACTTGAACGATTTCTTATTATTATTGACACAATAAAGCGGTCATCGCGAGCCGTTGTAATTCAAAATAAATAATATATTTTTATAAATTATATATTATAAATAATATATTTTGACATGACAATTGTTTCGACAACGCCGTGTCTTTGTCAGTTGTCATGTAAAAATATATTTTCGTGAATTTCGTGAAAATCTGAACTTTTAGTTTTTATTTATTTTGATAAATGGATTTTCGTCAAGTAAAAGCCACCTCAGTTTAACCGTTGTAATTGGCCTTCTGCCCGTTCCAGGCCGCCTAGCAAAGGATCCAGTCTCCTCATACCGTTGGCATGCTCTCTGAAGTACTGCGCGTGTCATATTTTACAAGAGCTCGCTGGCGAAATTCACTTCCGATTAAAGCGATAACTTTAGCGACTTTTTGCGGTGTAGTATTACTATACATTATGATTAAACCCTATCCAAATGGTTAAAGACGAGTAATGTGAAAATTCCAGTTGTAAACGCGATTAATTTAAGTCCATAACAAGTTTGTTACTATCACTATAACTACTGAATGAACACGTCTCACTTCTTTAAGCACATATAAAAGATCAACACTCTTGACAAATTTCAACTCATACTAAACCATATTAAATTGTCTTAAAAATAGCATTTTTATTTTTTGGATCAGATGAATAGTTTCTAGAAAAAAAATCAAAAACTTACAGTGTGCGCGCAAGTTTAATATGGGTTCATCGAAAAGGTGTCGAACAGCGGTAGACATTAACTACCAATTTTGGACATCTTTTTGTTTTTGAACAATAGAAAGTCAAACCCGTACTAACGTAAAACGAATTTGCAGCACCGAGCTGGCACGAAACGTCTCTCTAGTCGAGTGCCTTAACTATCTAGTAAATAAAAAAAGAAATGCGTAAGTCAATGGATGGTGTTGTGGACCGATTTTGTTGTGACGCCCATTTTCTCGCTTAGACGATAAAATGCAAAAATAACCACTAAAACATATACATTTTTGTGACAACACGTTACCTGGTGAATATACCGTTATTTTTATTTCACTTTTCGTAACCGAGAGCTTGAAAATTAACAAAAAAAAAAATACGACGGGGCGGGTTAGTATTCGGAATATGCAACAGGGAGCGCCGCGATCGCAAGTATACTGCACAATATGCATTGATGCCTGCCAATTCCAATAATCGTAGTTCCGACTAATGATCGTTCCCCATAAACATAACCCTATTTTCATAGACAGTCAGACTAACCGAGTCTTTTTTTTGTATTTCCGCACCCCCCGAATGCAGTGCCTTTAATAATTATTAAACCGAGTGAGTATCCACTTCGTATAGATGCATGTTTAGTGTTATCCCCGCTCACATCCCCCCCCACGTTCCACACTATAACCTTTTCGTTCGTTTCGACAGCAGAGAGCTATATACGTCACCCCAACTCGTACCTTCCCTCGCACACCTACAACATCAGGAGCGAAGCGGACTCGCTGCAAAGTCCTGGGGCCGATTCCGACGACGTGGAGCCCTACGGCTTCCCCAGCAACCGTAACAGGCGCAAACATATCGACGACGACATTTCATCTGTGATAACCACTTTAGGTACGATTATATTTTATTTTACGTACAACACACGCTGTCCAAAAAAAAAAAATAGAACACTTTATTAGAGAAAACTATGAATAAAGTTACTTTTAGTATAGGTCATTATAATATTTGAAGCACTAATAAGAACTTGGACGAGGTGAGGTGAGGTGCAGTGGCATGCCTTACATATAGGCAAGTACCTATTTAAAATAACCTACAAATTTTTATTTTTCTGAATAGTACGTTATTACAGTCTTTAATACGGTTCCAAACCCGGAAACATCATACAAAACAAACGCCACCTGTTCAACGTCTTATTATTACCTTAAAAACGCATCCCATTATTCAAAGTCCAACGCACAGCCGAAGCTTAACACTACATTTAAACGGGCAAGCAAAAGCAGTGCGTTACTGCACGAAAGCAGTCGGGACCGTCCGATCCGGATGCACTGCGATACCGCGGCCCGCAGCATGCGGTGTTGCCAATGCCGATGTTATTACAGAATTATGTAAGAAACGTTATTTTAGGTAAACGATCAATTTTATCTAGACGTGTATTATGTAGCAAATTAGAAATTTGGTTGCAAGTATATTGTTTCCAAATGATTTCATTTACTATTTTATTTGACTGCAAAATTTATTCTGCCATAAAATATATTAGGCAGTGCTAATTGGAAATCTGGCAATATTGTGTACGATATTGTTTTTGAGAGATTATTCGTTTTGTTTTGTTGGTTTGTTGGTTTTTGGCGTGATGCCTAATGAAAAGTAAACATGTCGGAGTGTGAGCGCGGTGCTGATGTGAATTGCATTAAAAAATTGAAGTCTAAATGCCTATGACATTGTCATTTTTTTGTCAAGAGAAAAAGATGTGCCACGTATTTCCAGAACTAATGAAATTAAGAAAATTAATTCTCACCATCCCAGCCAGTAGTGCGTCAGCAGAAAGATCTTTTTCTGGCCTAAAAAAATTCATACGTATCTAAGGAATACGCAAAGTCAGGCAAGGTTGAATAATTTAACAATAATTTCGTTAGAAACTAGACTTTTATAAGAATTAAAACGGACCACAAATTTTTATGATGATGTATTGAAAGAGTTTTTGAAAACAAATCGCCGTTTTGAATTAATCTATAAATAATAAACTTATTTGCTGTTATTTGATTTTTATTTTGTTTGAGTTTAAAGTTAAGTAAATTTTATAATATATCCACGTACATTGTACATAATAATGTATTGTGTTGTGCTGTATGTAAAACATGCGTTTCTTTTGAGTTTTTCGTTTTTTTGGTTCTGTTGCCTACTATACGCTCTATTTTTTATGTCCTTTATGGGAAAAATAATTAGGGCGTGGCACTTGCCTACCCTGCGATGCATTGTACTGCACGCCACTGCAGTATTGTAAAGTATTGTACAGTAAGTAAGAAAATTGATGATTAAAAATAAACACTTCTTAACCACTACAACTTATCGACCAACATTTTCAGTTTTTTTGAGTTTAATAACAACTAGAATATGATTTATATAAATAAAATAAAAAATCTAAAATCCCATCGTTACGTGCAAGATTATTAGATACAGACCAAGTGAACATGGTTTTAAATCGAGATGACAAAGTAATGTCGAATCATGTATCAATCACATATTTAATAAGTGTAACGAAACGCTCTATGAGAGTTTAATATCCAGCCTGTCTGCACGGTAGTGGCTTTAGAGGCATTCCTTACCAGTTATTACAAAGTTACTTAGATGATCGAAAACAACGTGTTGAAGTTCAAAATATTACGAGCGAATTCCAAATGATAATATATAGAGTACCTCAAGGAACTGTACTTGGCCCTGTACTCTTTATTATCTATATTAACGCTTTCAAGTTAGACATCATGGGCGGGTGAGTATTGATGAAACTGGATAGATCACTGAACAGAACTTTAAAACTGTATTGAGTTGGTTTGATAATATGTTGTTGACTGTAAGTTGTGAGAAAACATTTTTCTTAGCCTTTACATCATTTGCCAGAAACATCCCTACTTTTAATACATTAAAATCCAAACAACATATAAAGTATCTAGGTAGATATCAGGATAGTCACCTAGAGTTGGATGTTCAGATTGCATATGTTGTGAAAAAGATTAGGCCAGAATCAAGTTTTGTCTTCGACGAGGCACAATTGAAACTGCTCTATTATGCACTTGTTGAAACCCATATAAGATATAGTAAAACAGCCTGGGGAGACTAATGGGTCAAGGAAACAGTGCTGCTTCCAACACAAGAATTATATGATTTGGCAAAAGTTCTCGATCCGCGTCAAATATTCTGCCCCAATCTGTTAATACTTCAACACAAAAATAAACCCACGCTTGAAAAAGTCAACTATGAAATACAGTACAAGGAACAAACTCAACAAATATAAATTATCAATTCTTGCATGCATACCTTGCTCCAAAATTGCATAACTGCTTACCTGAAGATATTAAAAAATTAAATTTATTTTTAAAAAAATGTAAACTTTGAATAACTGAAAAACCACGTAAACTTATGCACGATTTCATAGATTATCCAAATATGTAGCTATTTATTAGCAGTATATAACAAAATAAGTAAAATAATATGTATAGGTAACTGCAATTAATTTATTCTTTAAATATATTTTCTTCATAATTCATTTAACTGTTGATTGTTTATATCTACCGGAACTTAAGACAAACTAACCAAAACTATCCAAAACTTTGTGGGTCAGGTAATACATTTAATTCTATCGTTGATTGTGGTTGGTGCTATAGACAACTTATTTTGTTACAAGTTCGTGAAGAATATAATATATTAATTAACGCTACTAACGCTCAAGAGATTTCTTTAGTGGGTTTGTTTGTATTATATATATTATATATATAACTATATATTATTTGTTTTAGTAAATATGTTATTATTATTATTATTATTATTATATATAATGGCACAGCCCAATGCCCTTAATAAATTAGCATAGCACATTATCTAACAGAGACCAACAGTTTGTAGTGTTTCGATAAGGGGGCTCCATAATATTGGAATGGCTGCAAATACTAGACAAAATTAATTTAGTGCTTACAATAATGAATAATAATAAGTTTCGACGTTAGCAGAGGAGCGCAACTCTTTACTGGGTGGCTGCTACGCAAGCAACAGCGATCTCTCGACCAACCTGTGCGAAATCGAAGACTCCGAGTGCGAGACCGAACACAAGCCGCTCAACTATATGTCGGGGGTGCACCAGACGTCCGTCTGACACACGCCCGCCCCTCGCGCCGCCCCCAAAAAGAGGGTGCGTTTCTTGGGATAGCACACCGTCATCGTCCTGCCCCGTCGTGACACGTAGGCGTCGGGGATGACGTCTATAGCTCCGGGTCTCCGCCATTATCAAGCAACTGCGCAGGGTGTTTCTGTATTTTATGCCCCACGTTTGTAAATACCCTAGCGCAGAAACACCCTGTACGTTTATTGTAAGGGTTATTCACGTAAACCTAAATTAACAGCTACAAATATTTTAACCCGAGTGTCCTCTAAAATCCCCTATCCCCTAATAATCCTTTAATGAAAAGGTTTTGTGCATAACCCGATAACAGTCGGAACCCAAACGTGTATCGAAATCTGGTGACGCTTCTCGGTCACCGCGTTTATCATGGTTTTTGCATATCACGAGAAAGCCCTACCGAACCACCTGGGGTTGTCCGATAAACCACTTCTCAAATATTGTGTAAATAAAACGAACCATATTTTTATAAAGTTGATTAAACGTTGTGTTTTATGTAGGCCCTTGTTTATGTAATTGCGATGCGACGAATTAAGTTTGTTGAGACCCTAAGGGTGGTAAGGAAACTAGGTTAATTTTAAGAATAAACATGTGCCTCGACCACGATACGTGAACTGCCTAAGCGAACGGCAGCTCCCTAAATACCATTTAAATAAACTTATTAATTATTGTTAACGCGGGATATAGACTTACTTTACCGGCAACTAAGCGGCAGTTCTTTTTTCCTTCATGTAACTTATAAATTAATGTTAAGGTAACTGAAAATATTGTGTCCTAATTTATTTTGAGTTGGAACGTCTTTTTTTACTTTTTTAAATGATGATTTTTGGAACTCGGAAACAGCTGATTGTTAATACTGAGCCATCAGTATAGATGTAATTTTTTTATAATAAATGGCAGAAAATTTGTAGTCTTAATCACTTTTCAGACCTGAGCTATCCGGATGATCCTTTTCCATGGGTAATTTCACAAACACTAACCGCACGTCAACTATGACCTATAAACATACAATATTGCAAAATCAATTCAAACCATGCATTACATTACTTGTGTTCTGAAAATCTGCGCGCCAATAGCGGCGAATTGCGTAAGCGTAAAAGTCAATGGTACAGTAATTGTTTGTCCCCCCATTGACAGATGGCGCCACCATTTAGCGCAATCAAGGCTTTTGTAAGTTTCTATAAACCGTGAACCGACTTCGTTATCTCAGTAAATGCTTTATGGTTCGACTTTCAAAAAAAGTAAATAGACTAAATCATTAATTTGCGTCGGGAGGTCCTTCCTGACTGACACGAGGTCATCGATTGCGAAGGAGCAAAACGAAGGCAATTAATTTGTGAAAAAATTATATTGCGAAATACTGATCACATTTCGGTGTACCAAATAAATATTACTCCTACAATAAATTACAACGTATTTCGTTTGACTAGAATAAAATGCGAGACGAATCAATCTAAGTAAATCGAAGAACCGCACTCTTGCGTGTAGTTATTGGGCACGTGTTCCTTCGTCAGTTCGATGAACTGATTGAGCGGACAAAAAAGATCGCATCCCGGTACCTGAAGCTCATTCGGCTCCTTGTAGACGTTGTCGACGTGAACCACCTAAAAATGATACGTAATATAGGTGCGTTGCACAGCCGCGAGGAATGTCAGATTTACTGCGGGGTTGCCAAACTATTCGCCATGGAATACAAACCCACTTTTACACGACTCAAAAATACTCACATATATTTTCGACTCGTAGTCTCTGGATTCAAACAGAAGCCACCTGGAGCATGGGTAGTCCCTAATATATGTGAGTAATATTGAAGTCAGATCTTGATCAGAAATAAAATCGGTAAGAATGGTTTCTACTCAACCATTTCTGCAATCACTATTTGCATTGGATCAGTTATTATAGTCTTAAAAAAAAGATCAAGTGTGAAAATAGACAAAAAAAAACACTTTTTCTTTTTCCCCGCAAACCGCTTAAAATTTTTTGTTTGCTTTATATAACATTTTAAGGCTTTTAAATTTTACAAATTGCGATTCTTTCCTGACGAAACTTTTCTTTGTTATATTGGTATTAGTGATTAAATGTCTATTCTACTACTCTACTCGCAGACGCTTAAGATTTAATACGAGAGAGGTGGCTTTTACTTGATGAAAATCCATTTATCAAAATAAATAAGAACCAAAAGTTCAGATTTATTTTGAGGGAAGTATTGCTTTGGCCATGGATTTTCTCAATCAATTTAGGACATTTTTGGCACAGTCCGCGATAAATAGCCCAATCTGGCGGCGCTGTCTCAAAAGTCACGCGATTTGCGCAAACGTATTGAAGGCCCCCACATAATTTCCCGTGAAGGTTTACGTTAGTTCAATCTTATGCGCAAGAAAAGTAAGGTGTTTGAAATTTATGGCGTACCTTGACCGCGTAATCCTGCTCCTTCTCCAAATAGTGGAGCTCTATGATGGCGGCGGCGCAGTAATTGGGAAAGTGCGGCTTGTATAGATTGAGCGCGGCCAATAGCCTGAGCACCCCAAACTCGTGACCCGAATTGAGATACATCTTGCGGCCGTCAGGTTGGTGAATGCCCTCCGCCTTCTCCCTCATGTGTCTGATCACCCGCTGCAGCGATCTGCCTGAAATTTCAACCACGTGACCCCGTGACGCAAGCGCACAGAGGCGCCGGATATCTCACCCCCGTTGAGTTTTTTCAGTATCGTGTTGTGGTTCTCCATTTCGCACTGTTTGACGGCGAACTCTGTCACCTTGTCGGGGAAGACCTCAGCGGTCCATTCGGGTAGGGTCAAGTTCATCGTGTACTCGGCAGTGAGGGTTTGGAAGATTTGGAAACCGTGGCCCAGAGTTTTCATCGGCTTGCCGGTATGCTGCTCGATGTACTCGGTGGTATTCCGATGGGAGTTCAGATACGCGACGGTTTCTTCAGAAGCCAAGACCCTTTGGAGTTCGTTGAAGTAGACCGGACAATATTTGTTTGGGCGCGTGAGGATCTGAGTACCAAAAATTCAATTTTAACGATGAGGATAAGGGGCGGTAGACGCGGTACTCACGTGATCGTGCTCTTCTTTGTCGTAGTCGTAGGGTATGGGCATCCAGTCGAGGGTGTCGTGCCATTTTTGGGACAAGGAGGGCGCGAATAAGCCAGCGAGAGTCAACAGTAGCGACATCTTGGTTCGGTCGTAATCGGTCGTCGTCGCCTTGATCAGATCGGGGGTGTAGACGTCGCCTAGATAATGGTCGTAGCGCTTGCGCAGCAATTTGCCCAAGTCGAACGCCATTTGCTTGCCGTTCTGCGGATTGTAGGCGCGATAAAAACGACCAAAAGAGTTTTAAGATCACAATATCAGCAAATTACCTAAAGCCAGTAGGCCTAAACCTGTGGCAAACCCTTGGACCGATTGGTCTACTGCCAGTGGTTTCTAAGGCGTTTGAAAAGCTGATTGATTGAATACAATGCCTGCTTTGGCTTTGCTAAGAGTTTTAGATGACAATTTCCTAGCTGCATTTTGAGAAAAACGCCCTGCGAAGCACTGGTCATTTAACTAAATAGCCGAATGCAGAATAATCTTTGAGGTTTTAAAATTCATTTAAAAAACATATTTCACGGAAAACTACCTATTTAGACACACCGTTCAACAGGATAAACCCAACTACAGAAGAAAAAATGCAAGAGGTCAGCAAAATGCTAATACAACGTAAAATAAAACAATAATAATTATATATATATAGAAGAACATATATCAAGCTGGAAGCTTGCCGAGTTGCACCGATCGTACACTCTTCGGAAAGGAGAAAATTTTAAAATATTCGTTGCTGCCTTGAGGAACAACGGATAGACACAACCTTAGATTAAGTAAAACCAAAGAACAAGTAAAGGTTGCATACGCTCCAACATGAAATAGGACGGAAATTACTGATATCTAAATTGTTACCTTTTATTGTAAATAGGACCACAAACACAAGTTTTTCGCAAAAACACGAAACAGGTACGAGAATCATAACCACCAAAAATGTAAACAACAATGGCGCAGACCATTAGTAGTCTCTGGCAATAGCAGTTCGTAGTTCGACGTTGCCAGTTATATTCGGATTTCGGAGATTGATTTTGCATTCTTATGAAAATTAGTCACCTTTTTCAGAAAAATTACGGAAATGCGGCAACTCAGTTAGTTGGAGCGTGACGCATGCGCAGATATATCACAGCCACCTGCGGCGCACCTCTTTTTACCGTAGTAGAGCCATTCTATTATCTTATAGATATGAGTAGAACTGTAAGCGGTGGAGCAAGGACACTCACACAGTCCTCTGAAGCTAAAGCCGGAATGCAATCAGGTCTATTTATATGTCAAAATAATTCGATTTTTGGAGAAAATTGCTCTTATTCCGAAAATCATTTAGACACAGAAATAATATAAATCAAATGAAAGAAATTTTAATCGTGCATCAGAATGTTGGACATTAGACAGGGTGGTCCATTGCGCAATTACTGCGACCTGAGTCTTTTTCTTTTGCCATAAAGAAACGTTAAATAAATAGTTTCCATACCGCAATAATTTGTCAACGAGCGGTTATCTAGCCTTGACTGAGAGTAAAGCAATACGTATATTATTGATAATTATCATTCACGGCCGATCCGCTGCCGCATTTCTCGAGCTTATCAAAAAGGCGCACAGTTTTAACTAGCCGTGAAAATAATCCTTTTCTCTGACGGATTGCCGGCTCGTAAAAATACCTACGTAAATAAAGCGCTATAAAAAAAATGTAGTAATTCTACGGAGCGATTGGCAGTGGAATTAACCAAGTTTTTCCCTTAATAATGGATAAATAAATGGCTGATAACGTTGTAATTTACAATTTATGCCACCCAGAGCGTGATTTATATTAATATTTATATACTATATGACGTAACAGCAAAGTAAATGTTTATACTACGGCTCTGAGAATTTCATTGTTTCCGTGTACTTAGGTGAACAATATTTCGCGTGGGCGCGTTTTTTAAAATTAATTTTGAAAATGTGAGTTTTTTCAAAGGTTAACGCTCCTGGTAATTTTTATCACTCGGTATAACGTGTTGTCGCGTCCAAAATTCCGCCGAAATTTCTCCTGAAAAAATGGCATTGTTTGCAAATTGTCCGACGATACAATAAATATTCGGGTGAGCACGGCTTGCAATTGCAAGTAGGCCAAAACCGTCTGAAATACCGGGCCTGATTGTACAGAAATTTAATTTGAAATAAATAACCACTTACGTTCGTAAGTTGACCCCATCCTTCGGGCTGGAAAGTGTCCTCTTGATATGGGTCATTGGGATAGGAGTCTTTCAGCTCTGGTGTCCTGGCGCCGTGCCTGAACCACTGAAACAGACGTCAGTTTTGTCAGAAACATACCGGGTATTCCGTTTCAGGTACTTTGGTTTCCGTTATTTTACAAATTTTAAATTTTCAGATATTTTTTTTAGCCTTTCAGAAAAAAAAGTGAATCCCAGTATAAAATCTGAGCATGTTAGAAAAGGACAAAGTATACCTCAAAAACGGTAAATATGTTTCACTCTTCACTCTTCTCTTCTCTTTATTGTACTACTGTACTACAAATGGTGGAAATGTGGAAAATTATATTATACAATTTTTGAGTTTTCTATTACAACCAAAAATTCGAAAAATTTTTAATGCGTACTTGTAACTTCCTCATATTTAAGGGCCATTTAAAAAATCAGCGAATATTCCTGAAACTATTATTATTATATTAAAAAAAGGGTTTGTGGGTTTTCTATTGCAACGAAAAATTCGAAAAACTCTTAATCCGTACCTGTACCTTCCTCGTATTTAAGGTTCATTTTAAAAAAATCAGCGAATATTCCTGAAACAGCATACTTACCACGGTGACGAGCCTCAGGCTGTCGCTTGCGCGCGGATTCTCGGTGGATCCCCCGAAAATGGCGGCGAAGAGGGCGAAAAACCCTACGAATTTGTTCATTCTCGCGAGATCGCCGAGTAACGCGACGCTAACTGCTACGATGAGAAGACAACAGAGGAAAACCTTAACCATCAACGCCGTGAGGGCCCCATTGTCGAATTAAGGCAATAAATAACGAGAACAATTTATATCGAAACACCCCGCGAGGTTCAGATCCGTATTGACCAGAAATGACAGGCCGCGCGCCGCTTATATAGACAGGGGCGTCCGCGCGGCCGCGCAGTGCCGTAACACACGATTTTTGACCAGTTCGCAACGACGAAAAATAATACGCGGTAGCCTGGGAATTTTATTTTTGCTCGATACAGATAATAATAATTAAGGCTAGGTTTAATGCGCTCGTTGTCGACCCGCGTCTGTAAATAATTGCTAAGCGTTTTCCGCGTCATGAATAAGTTGAAAATAATTAAATAATTAGCCGTCCGGTCGGCCTTCTTGGGCGTTTTTAGGCCCACAAGTGGGTCAACGGCTCGGCAGGTTGGAAACTTTTTATTAAATAATATCGAAGTTTCAATTCAATTGGTATGAAAATGAAGTAGAAGAAGAAGTCAGTGATCAAAATAAATGACAGGTTTTATAGAAGAAAATATTCAAAAATAGGCTTAATTATTAAAACTTAACATGACAGTACAAGTATTCTGTTGAACACAAGTCATAGTGTTATATTGATGGCTGATTAAATGAAATAAATTTTAGCATATCTAAAACAAGGAGTGAGTGACAACAAAAACGTCACGACCGATCACAACAAGTATTGATATATAGTAATAGGAACCGAGTATTTAAAGAAACATTATTATACTAAAAGACGTTGTTGTTTTATATAAGTCATAGCCCAACGTCCGCATAACTGTAAATCAAGTAAAAAATTGAGATGTCTAAAAGTGATGAAAAAGAAAAAAAATAAAAAAGTCCAACAAATATTAGTAGATAAGAATAGGAAGTTAAAAGCTTGATAAAAAATTATTCGTATGTCTTGAATGATATCCAAAAGAATCCATAACTGAAAAACAAATGTGTCAGTAAAATATTAAAAAGTGGTGACTGATTAAATCAAATAAATATTAAAATGTGTTAACGAAATAGTTTTAAAAAAAGATATGCGTGTTTTCCGTGATATCAAAGTGATCAGTGATCAAATAAAGTTATTCAAAAGAAGTTGTAAATAAGTCGACTGATTAAATAAAATAAAAATAAGAATGTCTAAAAGAAGGAGTAATAAAAAGCGATTTGCATGTTTTCCGTGATATAAAAAGGAATCCATAAATGGTCAACATAAGTTTCACTAAAGTAATAAAAAGTGATTAGTGATTAAAGTGACCAAAGAAAGTTGTCAAAAAGTCGTAGGTGATGATTTATTAAATTAAATAAATATTGGAATGTTTTAACGAAGCAATGATAAAAAGTACAAGCACAAGTATTAGGAGGCGCGTGAGACAAAACGTTATATGGCTAAAAGTCCTTCAACCAAATTTTAGTAAAGTAGACGGGTGATCAGTACGTTGCCCAAAAGGAGCTATAACTAAACAAAATAAGTAGAATTACTTTGCAGTACTATTCTCAAAAATATTAGGAGAAGTTGTTGGTTAGTTGTCGAAGGAAAGGGTACGCTCAAAAGAAAATTCGAATGATTAAAAGAGTTAGTATGATTTACAATGTTAGGGGAGGATGTATGGTGTCCAAATGGACAAGAACATCCTGGATAATTATAGCCAGCTGAACCCTACGCGGTACAAATTTTTAACCAAACATTTAGCGCTTGTCCTCGAGCTGCTATTCAACAGTAGTTTCATGTTACTGTTTGTTGAACTTTTTTTTAATAACCATGGCGAAAACGTGCGACGAATCGATGACTTCCGACGGAAAAAAATTATTCGACATTGCCATTGACCGCGACATTTTTTTGATAGTGAATCTATTATTGTTTATCGATGAAATGGAACGAAATCATAATTGCCAAATTGTGCGACCGTCGGGGGCTCCAAAAACGATAAGGATGTCCATCGACGTAAGTGACGGGTATCAACAAAGACCAGTGACGATCGTCGGTATTGCCTTGCGTTTTCGGATCGGCCATTTTTAAAGCCAAAGATTAAAATGTTGCGTGTTTCTACAATAATCACCGATAGTGTTTGTTGACGCATCATACGATATTTGCGATAGTCTTAATTAATTAATTAAAAACTACGAAATAGCGGTTCCTTTATCGCCACTGCATAAAAATGTTGATACAGATTGCGGGGAATTTTGAGCGGAATGCGCGAACAAGATGCCACTGGTTTCGTAATCTGAGTTCACGAAAAGCAACAATGGAGTTTTGTATTTAAATATTTATTTTAAATTTTAAGGGAAACTTCTTAATTTTTGGAAAACTTTTGGCGATTGGTTATCCGGAAAGAGGTTTTGACCGATTTTGTTAAAATTTGGCAACGTTATTTGTAAAGGACTACTTTTGTATTCACTAGATCAAACTTGTGAAATCCAGTGCCGTCGAGGGAGGTATCTTAACGAATAATATTGTCTAAGAGATGTACGTCACTGGTAAACCAATATACAACTTTTTTGGCTAATCAGTTGTTCTTCACTTAATTTATCTACGCTTTATGTACGGGGTGATCATTTATTTAACGATTGAGAAAAAACGTCAAAAAACAGGTACAGGGTGTTGAAGGAATCAACCACAAGTTATCTTTTTAATAGAACACCCTGTATATTTCATTTCTTGTGTAGTCTATACCAAATTTGAGTTTCCTTAGTTTTTCCAATGAGAAATTATCCATGTAGTTTTCTAATTCGTTCTAAAGAAAGTTTAGATTAAAATTACCGTTTATTAAGGTAACGCGGAAGAAATGAATACCTATTATTCTGTTGTTTAAAATAGCACACCACACATTTACAGATTGACGTTCTTGATATCGATATTCCCCGTGGCAAAGAGAATTTACTGCGTCCCAGTGTCTGCTGCTTTTCTCGATTTATCATAAAACTGGTCGAAAACGTTGACTCGTCATTCCAAAAACATTTTTCAAATAAGAACCATTTCCGTTCATTTTTTCCCAATATTGCGTGGCAAAACCTAACCATTTTTTTCCTCCTTGTGGTTTGAACCTTTCGATGTATTTTTTTGATCAATAAGCTTGAAGCTTTCCGATATTTTTCTTATGGAAATATTGCGACTTTCTTCAACTTTTAGCAAACTCCTTAAATCGCTATCTTCATCTCTTTCCAATCTTTTGGCTAGGTTGAATGTTTGTTCGAATTCTTCATAGATTCGATGAACCAATTTAGCTCTCCTTAACCTATATATCCTTGACCTATACGCCGTGCAATGGGATTACTTTTTTTGAACAAACTTAACAAACAACAACGTTGAATAAAAAAGTTATATAAATAATATATTATAAATGATCACCCGGTACAATAAACTAAAAATTGATGATAATTATAAAAAAATAATAAATATTGTCGATAATTTTAAAAGAAATTGTAAAATCTAAGACTTTGGTTGGGACATTTTCTTTTAAAATTGCTTCAACATCTTTAATTTTTCTCACTTAAATAATTAGCTTTTGAAAGTTCCTTGGGTACGATAAAAACCAGTGGAGGTTGAATTGCACGATCATTGATGACAGGCGTGATCCAAAAATCAAGCAACATTTCTCTTTTAAATCGTCATTTATGATTATAACAATTTTTAGACTATACCGTATTACAATACAGCGTGTTTTTTATCTACACGTTTCATTCCTCTAACACCCAATACAATAATAGTTGTCTCCCTAATAGTTATTTACACGATTTTAAAAGGTTTGTGATCCCATTTCGTCGTAAGTAAATATAACATTATCAGGCAGTCTATCGAACTATATCCATTTTAACCTAAGAACTAAGACGTCTCTTTTTTTTTATTTTAACAATTACAATTTTAGATCTACGACTACTATACGTGTTTTTTTTTTTATTTTTGGCGCGCAACACGTAAACATTTTGGGTTTAATAACATTTATCTTCTTTTTTTTTTAAATTCAATTTTGTTTATGTCTCCACTTAACAACTAGGATGTATAATGGCACTAATTGGTACATTTCTACTATACTGGTAGGGCTGGGATTCATTTTTGGGGGGGGGCCATTTGAATTTAAAAATTGACGATATTCTCCGCCGATATACAGGACGGCCAAAACTTAACAAAGGGGAAAATTGAGACCAACCAACGGGATATACGTTTCTTCTAATAGTTCAGAATATGGTAAATTATGCATCAATCAAAAATATTTTCAAGTTTCCAAGATGGTCCTCATCTTAAATATTTAAAGCGAAGTTGAAACCCACCTAGGCAAATTTGCAAAAAAAAGCTTTTTCACCTATCTATGAAGATAAAATGGTAGGAATGATGTATATAGCTGTTAATGCTGAATAAATGACGAGATTCTTATCCGCGATCTGTTTAGTTCTTAGTGGTGCCGAGAGAGAGCGCTGTTTGATACAATAATAAAGAAATGAAAAATACTTTAAATAATTAAATGCACTGATAAAACTAGTGAAAACCCTATCTCGATATTTTTATTTTTATAGTTAGATTATTATTTATGTTTTTTTCGAAATCAATTCGAATTTTAACGATTTAACGTTGGCTATTGTTCTGGTCAGTTTGCAATGATTGCTGTCCAATTTAAATCGCCCTGTATATTAAGAGGCAAAACAACCGATCCACTGAATAGATTTTGGTAAACACTTCCCAATAGGGTGAGCGAAGGGATAAGCCTTTAAAAATCGAATTGCTACGGTAAGTATTTGGGATATTGCAGAGTTGCCATGTCTACGCGAATCAGTCACAATTTATATTCTTTTCAATGGAATGCACTGTACATTAATACATGTATTTTTGGAATGTACGGAAAAATCTAAAACTTTTTGTATTAAATATGTCGTAGCTCTCTCAAGCTATTTTAGAGATAAAAAATATTTTTTATGGGAACTGTTTTAGGTAAACTTATGAAATTTTGTTTACCGCTCGCCAATTGGTTGCAGTCTAATATTATGAAATCGAATTTTAGTTGGTTGATCGATTTTGGAGTTAAAATATAAAAAAATCGGAATAAAGCAATTTAAAGCTTAATTAATTAAAAACATTTCAATTAAATAATACATATCAAACAAATTATCAATTTATCAAGAAATTTTATGATTTTTTGATATGGCCAATAGCAAAGATGCGCAAATAAATGAGCTCTATCTATAAACTTTATATTCTATATTCTACAATTAATTTTATCCATATGCGTCAATAAAAATATAAATAAAATGGATAATTATAAGTTAATTAATTACACTATAACTTCTTTAAAGCAACGACTGTCCTCATATTTTGATAAATATTTTTAAAAAGAATTACTTGGCAAACTTAAATTTTTTAATGTTCAACTTACCTTTTACCGAAACCCCCATTTTGTTTGTTATATTTGATAGATGGGGATTTGAATTTCATATAATAAATTATAAATACATATGGTTTTTTGTTTTTCCTTTAGCTATTATTTCTGCTCAAAATATGTATAGTATTTAGACTTTCAGATCAAGAATGAATAGCTGAAATTTTATAATATGCAGGGTCTTCAGCATTTAAAGAGTTGGTATCTGGTTCGAGTATATGTGGCAACGCTGTAAATATTTTATCCTTCTTATAGGCGCGTTTGTGGCGCCAAAACTAATTAATAAACAAATTAAATCGTAAAAATGCAGAAAATGTTTGCGATCAAAATATTTAGCGGATCGGACCGTTTTTTTCTTCCGTGAGCGCATAGTGGATATGAGCATCCCCCAAAAAAGGAACCCATATTTTTGAAATACTTACGGCGCTTCCGAATCGCATTTTTGGACATGTTCGTGAGCGCCCCGCCCTATTTATATTATCACAAACGATACTCCCCTATTGCATTTCGGATTTTAAAATATATAATAAATTTATGTGCGGAACTTTTCTTGCTTCTCGAAGTCGATTCGCCTCGATCCGCGCGAAAAAAAAGCGCGCTTATTAGGCAAATGTATGCGGGCGTGACGCAGGAAACGACGGAAATTCGCAAATTATAGAATTGCATATGAATGTCTGATAGAAAATGCAACATGCGATTTAATTGGAATTTTACGATTCGATGCGTTTTTTTTTTGGCGGGGGGCTACTCTCAGGCAATTTGCCAGCACATTAGTTTTAATCCATAAATATTTAATTGATAAAAAGCCCGGATAAACAAAATGACATCTCGGTGGGAATCGAACCCACAACCTCCTGTTGGCATGTCAACGCCTTACCAACCGAGCCATCCTCAGTCCATAACACCCTTCGTTATTAGTCTAAGCAAATCGGCAGTATAAACCATGAGTACAGTTAAATAATGTTGGTTAGTTGAATCCCAAGCCGTTTGAAGGTTGGACAGATGAATAATATCCCCAGACCGAGAACTCTACCACAAGGATGGTGTGGTTATTAATAAAGAAATGCTGTTTAATATCCATTATGTTCATTGTTTACTCACATTGATAATTCTTGAGGTAAGATCGTTTATTAACGTTGATTGGTAGAAACGCAAAGATATTATACAAGGGCTGCCTTTTATATTTCGACATTTTCTTAAACTATAGGGAAGTTTGACATTTTGAGGTTAGTTTTACTCAGTTAGGTTTTGGCGAAATAGTGTTGTTTGTGTTTTTTGTGATAAATTAAAAAAAATGTGACGGTTTACAACTTTAGACGTGGACTAACTTAACAACAATGCACCGATGAACTTTTGAAGTTAAAGCGCCATCTTGGACTACTGTTTATCGCTGGTTTTCGGACTTCAGTCGTAGTCGTAGTTTTCTTAAAGATGAATTTCGCGAAGAAAACATTGATGCAGTGCGAAAACTGATTTTGCAGGATCATCATGTGACTTACCATGAGTTTGAGGTATCTTTGGGCATTAGTGGGACCAGCGTACATAAAATTTTGCATGAACATTTGGCCCCTAAAAAAATACGCTCGCGGTGCTTCCATGGATCTATGCATATGAATCTGAAAGTAAGCAACAGTCGACTATGTGGGTGTTTCAGAATGAGGCAGTATTTGGGTTCCTAGTAGCAATTCGCTACCAAAATTTAAAAACTTATTTATTATTATTTCTTCTAAAAACATTTATTTATTTTTGGTTGGCATGAAATAAACTTTTATTCCAAAAATTACATTTACAATGCAAAAATCCATTTTGTTTAGGCACTAAATTATTTCAAACGTGTCACCGTGTTAAGCGGTTTATTCTGTATTTTCTATTACAGAAATGAAAGATTTTTAACAAAGAAGAAAAAATCTGTATTCGTTTGTATTTTCGTTAGCGGTTCAATGTAATGATGTGATGACGTGTAACGTTCCTTTTCTCTATTCACTGTTTTTTTTTAATAAAACATGAACATATCTTAGCGAAACTTTAATGATACTAACTGGAGGAGCTGCTACACTACTGCTATATTGAATATCAATCAATATTGAATGATTCAATCAAATTATCTGTTCATTATTATTACCGTCATATTAATTGCAGCGTTATGCGGGGTTTACACTGGTCGATTTTTATAGAAGCGACTTAAAATCGCAACCACCAAAGTAGGAAACCAATTAACATGCATAAAAATAATAGCATAATATCATAGGAATTCTATGAAAAGTACTCCTGCTTATGGAACCCAAGAGAGCCAGAGTAAAACGAAATTCGTTTAGCGGCTCTTAAGTCTATTATTCGGGAAAACCTCTTTCCATATCAGTTGAAGAACTTAAATATGTAGTGTTAATACTTTGAAGCGATCTTGTAATGCACTGAATATGGATTTTGTGAGAAATTTTATTTAGAATGGGCAGTAATGGGGATTGTTTTTCTGATACACGTTGGCACTAAGAGGATGTTTATATTTATTTCACTTTTTTTTTTATTATTTCACTATTTTTCACGACGACTATCAATAAACTTTTAAAAAATAAATAATAACTCATTGACTTATTAACAAATAACAAAAATTGCTAATATGATTTTATCATTTAACATTGCAATGTATTTTTTGTGCGTATAATTAGAAAATAAAATATAAAGCCTATTCTGGTATTTTTTACCTATTGATTTTAAAAGAAAATTTATTTTGTTTCCGTTTTCAGTGAACAAAAAATATTGGAGCAATATTTTTTGTCAGAAAAACTTGATCATCCTCAATTTGTAACCACTTTTCTCGAAGGTTTCTTTCAGTAAGGATATCTCAGTAAGAGATAAGCATCCGAACAAGGACATTCTCGCATTTATATAAATAAGCAAGAGGAAGACAACAATCCCCATTAGTGACCGTGTTTTTCTATTGTAATATTTTTTCACTATCTGTCACTACGTTCCAAAGGTATAAATTAAGTGCTGTTGCTATATTTGAAATTGATGAATATACAACCAGAAATACACGCAAGCATTTACATCAATTATGAATTTACTAGATACGAATTACGACTGAAACTTTCATTTACTATTTAGAATTGATTTCTGTGCTTTCATTTTCCTTCCCAGTTTCCTGCGCACGCGCGCGCCATTTTATTTATCGGCACGTCGTTCGGACATTATTTAACGCGTTTTAATTTTTCGTCGAAAATTTTCGTAAAAACGTCAGGTATATATCAAAATGGGAACGTTAAAAAAATATTTTCTCCAAATGGGAAACGAAAAGCGGGCCTACGGCGGGGGACATTTCACCACGGTAGTGGCGAACTCGCTAAATTTCTTGTCGATGGGCGTTCGGTCGTCGTACAGCGACGGCGCCTGCAGGATGATCCCTGCGGTCCCAGCCAGCACGGCTAGCGTGAATATCCACAGGAATAACCGGTCGAGCACCATAGCGACGTACTTCCAATCCTCCTTCACCTGAAAACGAAGGAAATAGTGAAATATCTTATAGGGAACAGCCGCGGGCTCTTTGGAGAGTGCAGCGCGCTAAACTAGGCAACCAGTTATACCTATGTTTCGATAGGAAGAAGTAAAGTTTCGAGTAGATAAAGGTGACGGACTTTTTGGAGAGCGGGATATTTTAAACTAGGCCACTAGATATGCCTAATGGATTCATCTATTATCCGAAGAAAAACGTGGATTATCGTGTAGGATAAGGCAGCGGACTAAACTAGGCAACCAGATATACAAAATTACGATTGGTCTACTAGGTTTTTTTTCCAACAGAACAAAAAGCTATTTCTTAATTTAAGTCCATTTAAAATTTAAAAATGGCACTGGACCCAAAATCTAACTCGGTAACTGTAAAAGGCTTTGCTTCAATCGCTTTAATATTTATTTAATTTTACGTAGCAGACAGATTATTATTTACATTAATTTATATTATAGTGTTATTTATATTAATTTATATTATATAATTAATTACTATTTATATTAATTAGTTTTTAATTATTTTATGTTTAGACACATTCATAAACCATACTAGAGCGAAAGCAATGCAGAGCTAAAAATTGCATACCGTAAGAAATTGTAAATGACTTTTATTAACATGTGCAAATCTTCTGGATCCCTTTTGCGTCGGGATGATTCCTCAAAACCGACGCAGTAGACTTTAAATGTCGTCACGAAACTTTAGGACAGAAACAAAATACAAACTTCAGCGGGGCGCTAAGAGATTGACAGACAAGTGTCAAAAGAAAACACAATTGTTACTATCTGTACGAGGTGTGTTCAAACAGTAAAAAAAAAATGCATAAAATTTTGTGTACAAAATTGAACATAGTGTTGAAAAACACCTGAAATGTTGACAACGGCCTATGGTAAATCTGATTTGAGCAAAAAAAAAAAATACTTATAAGTGGTAAAAACTGTTCCAAGAGAAGTCGGCGATGAAGAACCTCGCTCTGGGTGCCCCAGCACGTCAACTACTGATGAAAGCGTTGAAGAAGTGAACTAAATGGTGCTGAAGCGTCTTCGAATCGAATTTGTTCTGAAACTGCTTAATTTTGAACAAAAGGACTGTCGAAGGAACATCGCTTGAGAGCTGTTCAACGACTTCAATGATCATCCTGATATGCTCCAAAAGGTCATAACTGGTGACGAATCATGAGTACATGGTTATGACGTCAAACCCAAAGCCGAGTCGTCCAAATGCAAGAAGAATGAAGTTATGCGCCTTTTGCGAAAAGCAATACGAAGGAAACGGTCGGAATTGCGAGAAAACAATTCACGGATTTTGTATCACGATAATGCACCTGCTCACTCATCGTTCTTTATGTTTAACTTTTTGGCCAAAAACGTCAGGCCTCAGCCACCATATCCGCCGGATATGGCACCCTGCGAATTTTTCCTGTTCCCACAACTCAAGAAACCAATGAATGGAAGGAGATTTGGAACGATCGAGGAGAAACTCAAGGCTATACTAGAGAAAACGTTGGCACAAGGATATTGTGATATCTAGAGGGGGGATTGCATTAATTTTGATAAATAAATAGTTTTTGGTAAAACTTTAATAGCACTTTTCGAACAGACCTTGTATTACCAACCCTATTAGTGAAACTCATTAAAGATTATATTGAAATATAAATTAAAGTGATCAAAGTGTACAAGAAATGGTAGATAAAGTTATTGCTAAGACCTTCAACATAGTCGCTTATGCTAATACTATTCCCACATAAAATGTTCTTCCGTATCCATTGCCAATATCCTAACCTGACTTTAGAGTAACTTATTTTCAATACTGACTTTACTGGCAATTAGGTGATTTACGAAACATGGAAATAACACATAGTTTCGACTAGAGTTGTGTAAATCGCGATTGATTCGGTCAATTTGATTCAATCACTTAATAGGATCGAACGACCGAATCCCGCTTGTTCGTAATGATTCGATCACCTTGTTCGCTGCCGCCCTGGACGGTCTGAAGTGAGCGAACGTAGCCTTCCGGAATACGACTGAGACAGGTCACGGAAAAGGGATGGGAGTATTGTTATATCATTCTATAATATTGAATGAAATGTGTATATTACTGACACAACCCAATACGTAGCACCTATTTTGATAAAATCATGATTCAATAAAAAGCAGAACGCAGTTAAATATTATACTAACTAGAACAGAAAACATAACATTTAGCCACAACAATAATTGAAATCCAAATAACCCTGAATCGGTCCTTTTTTCCAAATCGGTCACTGATTGATTCGGTCCTCGTAAAATGAACGATGCACACAACACTAGTTTCGACTGCGACTGCCGGCGTTTTTACGTCATTTTGGTTTAGTTCGGTTCGCCGGCAGATGGCGCCAGTTGACTGACACGAAATCCGATTTCGAGACATCGGTGGTGTTGAAAAATGTATTACGTGACGCGGCATCAAACAAGAGGGGAAAAGGTCGACCGTTCCCCGGGGAGGGGGAGGGAAGAAGACGAATCGGGCGGAACGATGTCCTTAACGCGGTGCTGGATCCGGACCGCAGGCCAAGGGTAAACTGACGGGACACGACTCGATTTATCTAAAACATAATCTCGGCAAGAGTCAAGCCGGGGCCCTCTGGGGCTTGTCTTCCCGGTTTTTGTCATATCTCCGTATGAGTTTCGCCACGTCCGCAGGCGAAGGAAAGTGTATGCGAGTCAGGACTGACAACATTCGTTTGCCGTTTTGACTCTCCTTCTCACGTCCAAGGGGCGAATTTCAATTACATAAAATATAATCTCGGAAGACATTGTGTGCTTTTTTGCGACAACGATGCCGACAGCTTCCCAGTAATAAGACCGGTCCTAGAAATTTGCAATAAAAAATGTATTATGTAAATTCGCCAAGAAAAAATGCCACCAAAAGGCCACCGGGAACATAACATCTAATAAACAATAAAAATACATTCATCTTCACCTTCACACACTTTATCTGGATTTTCAAGTCCACCCAAAGAACCTCATTTACTTAAACTATGTGAGTTAAATGATCTTGTTAGAGACTTGTGGCTATCAAAATCTAAAGCACAATTACTCGGTTCAAGAATTTGTTGGATAAAAGTACAAGAGTTTCATATTTCAGCACAAGACACTAGTTACTTTTCGAAAGATGATTTACGAGGTTTCATAGTAGGATGCGAAAAAAAATTGAAGTCTTCCGTGAAATAGTTTTTTATTGACAGCATTTTAAACAAGACGTGTCCGAAAAAATGTCGCAAATAACGCAAATTGAGATAGAGCACCTAAAATTATTAAAGAAAGGCTGGATGGCGTGTACGGCCAAATTTTCCTCCGTATTCTGTAGTGAAAGAATGGCCAAAACGTTTTCCAATGGGGCAGGAGTCCCTTGAAGATGATTTAAGAACTGGTCGACCAGTGGAGGTCATAACGGAAGATATTGATCGACGTTTAAACGTCAAGGAAATCTCAGAAATTACTAAGCTTTCTGATACAAGTGTTCGTCGAATCCTGTATGATCATTTAGGTATGCATAAGGTTAGTGCAAGATGGCGTCCTAAAAACCTTTCGGCTACATAAATGACTTTATCGTAAAATGAAGTTGATTCTTCCTCGCGTAACCGACATTTGACTTAAATTAATTATTTGATATGAAGTAAGACTTAACTAAAGCAAGACATAAGAAGAGAAAAAACGAAATGAAAAGAAACTTATGTTTACATCAAATTATTTATATAAAAAAGTGTAAATAGTGTTCAAAAAATAGACTGAAATATTTTGGAGTGTTAAAAATATGAAAAAAAGTATTATTGTCAAAAAATGTACATCATTGCATTTTTGGTAACTTACATATTTTTGGTTTGTTCAAGCATTTAAGAATACAACTTCGTTGCCTCTTGAATTTTTTTCGTATCTCATTACGTTTTCAAAAAAAAAAAGAACAGGACAGCATTGAGAAGCAAAAAAAAAAAAAATATTTCAGCATGAATGTTAAACATTTTCTTTTTTCTTTTTTTAATTTATGGAGACACCAAAACGATTATCTGTTATACTTTCGTAGAAACAATGGAAAAATAAAAAAATAAAATCCCAAATGCTTGGGAAGGGATTAGGTATATAACTCGAATTTTAGCGCGAGTGTTGTTACAGTGTACTTTATGTTATGGACGCCACTGGATTTAATAATTTTTATCTTAATCGTAATTAATTAGTAATAAGTAATTTTTTAAAAAAATTCTACAGGCTACATGCAGTTTCAGTTAGCACTGAAGAAGCCAACATGATGATTGGCGAAACGTCAGCAAGTTCAAAGAAGTTTTGTAATTAATAGGTATTCAGTAGTAGGTAAATTTTATAAAATTTATTAGTAAATATGAAATAATTATACTATGAGAACCACCCAATATCCTTCATTTTGTGATATGTCAAACATCTCCTTTGACAGACATCATTTGTTTTCGTAATTATCGAGCTTGTCATGGAAACAAATTTTGTTCGACAAAATACCACACATCTTTTATTATAAAATAAAGAATTATATATCATAATTCCTGTTGAAATGAAAAATATTATAACTTCTAAAAGGTTCGGCTATCAATTGTTTAATTTGTTACTAGAAAATTGTCTCACAGTCATTGACGAAGTTTAAAAGCAATAACTAACTATTACTTCAATTAATGCAATACATTATCTTGGTTCCACTTCCCGTCTTTTGGTCGGTTTATTTATGTAAGCTGGGATTATATATTTTATTTTGCTGGGTTATTTGCAAAACAAATAACACTAGAGGTAGCAGACGAGTCCGTGACTCAAGTTATTAGGGTAAAATATTGTATCTTATGGGCAATGAACAATTTATTATTATTATTATTTAGGTTGGGATAAAGATATCTAGATATCTGGGTTGTTGGGCTATTGTTTCCGGATGCAATGAAGCAAAAAAGATCCTATCGTTGTTTTTTTTAGGAAATCATTTTTTTTTTCGA